TGTTTCTACTTTGAAAAATACTAATGGGCCTTAAAATTAAAGAAGTTTTAAAAATTTTCTTGAATTTTTTTTTAGTAAAATGAGAATAATTTATTCGCAGTCGAAAAATTGTTTCCGCGTGTTTTTAGGGTCAAATATTTCAAGTTAATGTATTCAAAAAGCAGGAATTGCTATTTTAGGAACGAAACATTTTCTTATTTAACAACATGGCGGCTTTCACTTTGTTGTTTTGGAGATTAAGATGGAGTAGTTCGAGTAGTCGCATACTGGACTAATAAAGTCGCAGTTCGGCCTTGACAGGTAGTATACTAGTCGCAAGATTACCTAATTTAGTCATCCTAGAGTCTAGCTTGTGCCGCCCTCTATAATCTAAATAAACGAGGGTGTGGATAAACTATCGGTAATATATGTCGATGTATATTTAAATTTAGTTTTATATGTACCTTTCTTATGTCCCATTTTAATTAAGTTTTTTTTATAAAAACAAAAACAGCACTGAACTGTCTGACTGAACAGAACAATGAAGTGAAAATTTAAGATTTAAGGTTATGATTCAATACAGTTGCAAAAAGGTAGTGACTCGACGTCCTACCAACCTAAGAATAAGGAAATCTAAACAACGTTGGAATTAGTAAAACAGACGACGTTTGCATAACGTTGGAATAGGTCCTGAAACTGGCGTCGGAAAACTCTATATTGTCCAACGTTGTAACTACGTTGTCCGAATCACCTATATAAAGATCACTTAAGCAAAAAAGGTTACAATACAACGTTTATTCGACGTCGCAGAAGCTTCTACTTTGCTGTAGTACTAGTCCAACGTCTGCACAACGTTATAAAAACGTTTAAATTTATTTTAATACCCAAGATAGGGAGCTAACTATTTTTTGTAACTAATCCAACGTTGTGTTTAGTAAACATGTGGTCGCAAGTCGTATGCTACTTGTGTTAGCCTTTAATTATGTTACCTAACTTCACTGATATAAAAATTATGATTATGAAAATGTTCTATAAACGCACATTAAAATTGCGTTGTGATTATGACGATGATTAAGACTGTGATTATGATTACGACTTATGCAAATATTGTATAAACCCGGCATTAATATTGACCAGTGTTCTTTTTTTTTTCTACCATAGCCAGTGTTTTAGAGTTGAGAATGAAATAAAATAAAGTCGAAGCAACAAACCGTATATTGGTAATTGGTATTATACACAAAATTATATTAGTATAATGGTATTAAAAAAAATAAACGGTAGTTGAAACCAATAGTGGGTTCATGGAGCACGCTATTTGCACTATTTGGTACTACTTTTCATGCACGAAATTGCTCCGCGAACAAAAAGTAGTATCCAAATAGCGCAAATAGTACACATATTATTACCTTTTTGTTAGAATGTAAAATTTTTCAAGACAAGAAATTTCAAGAGCAAGACAAGACAAGACTTTGCCATTCAAGAAATCTGCAAGACAAGACTGAAAATTTCTTGTCTTGAATTTCAAGACAAGACAAGAAATTGATTTTCAAGACAAGAATTCTTGTCTTGTGCAACACTAATAGGTACATATTCTTCTCATATTTCCAGTATTATTTGTTAGAATCCCTTCTGTTTTCTAGTTTGTTATACATTACTTTAGTTTTTGCTCAATTCATTTTAAGACCTACTTTATTGCTGGCTGTATTTAATTTGTGCTTGTAGTTCTTGAAGACTATTGGCAATTATGACTATGTCACCAGCGAATCTTAGATGGTAAAGATATTCTCTATCTATTTTTAATCTTCTATTTGTCCAGTCCAGTTGACAGAAGATTTCTTCTAGTGTTGCTGTAAACCTTTGGGGATATCGCGTCTCCCTGTCGTACTCCTTTACTAGTTGGGAACTCTGGAGTTGTTTTATATATTATTACTCTTGTTTTGGCTTCTTTTTATATATTGGCGAGAGTTTCTATATAAGGCCTGTCAATTTCTTGTTTTGCTTGGGCTTCTATTATTGCCTTAGGATATATCGAGTCGAACGGCTTCTCAACGTCTATAAAGGATGTGGCTAGTGGAAGTTTGTATTCTTTTATTCGGATCGACGGATTTGTTGTTGAATTTGGATATATCACCATACAATTTGAATTTTTCTAAATGTGACGAGCAATATGGTACATTTACGTAAATAAGAAAGCGTCAGTGATTTGTAATTTGTAATACAATTAAATTTACAAAAATAATAGATGATAATAAATATCACATTTTTTTAAAAAAACAAACATTCTCCCAATTTCCAAATATTCAAATACATTATCGTTGCATTTTAATTCTAAACACCCTGTCTATTGTATCGTATCAATTTAAAGTTCAGTTTGTGTAGGTACAGTACAAACGATTCTATTTTAATTTAACGCGACTATTTAAATATTTATATTTGTGTATATACAAACTAAGTAAAGTGTGTAGATAAGTGTGAACATATATATGTATTGTAGTCCAGTAACTTTAAATCATATCCGAGGTTGTAGCGAACATATCGTCGTCTTTCTTATTAAAAGGCCTAACTAGCATTTTCTAAACTTTATAGAAGAGATAGCAAAATATCTCAATTTTTAAAATTTTGTTAGTTAGGTCTCTTCAAGTATTATTTCTCAATGTTGAATAAACTAGAAGATCAACAATATCTAGGTTTACAGAGGATATGTAGCTTAATTAATATACCGGATGCGTCTCAAAAGTGGCTCACCCCTATAACTTTTTTATTTTTTCAGATAAAAAAACCAGATTTGGTACGTTATTATATGACATAAATTCGGATTAATTGGCATATTCAATTATTTTCGGTCACTTCCTGTTTCACCGGAAATGACTACAACTTTTGATTTATAAATGGCGCATCGGTATTTTTTTACTTTATTTGATTGAAAATGATACTCTGAATCGAATGACATATCATTTGTCAACTTTTGACATATTCGCTCAAAAACAAATTGTATTTTAAATTTCAATCTAGAGTGCCATGACTGTGTTAGAAATACTAATTTTTAATCAAGGAGTCTTGGAAAAATAGATTTGATCCTTTAATGTTTTTAGTGTCTTGTCCTGACCGGTTAAAAGATGCCCAAATCGTATTTTTAATAATATCTCAATTTTTTCAAATGGAACGAGGGTGGTTCCTTAACATATTTTGAAAAAGCATTTTTTACGAATAATTTGATACCACACACTTGGTATTTCCAGCCAAATTGTCGTTATGAACCGCATGTTACAATTTCAAATAAACCATATGCGAAAACGTATGCGTTGACATTTTATCTATCGAATAAAGTAAAAAAATACCCAGGGTACCATTTAAAAATCAAAAGTTGTAGTCATTTCCGGTGAAACCGGAAGTGACAGAAAACTTCTGTCATATTCTAACATACCAAAGCTCGTTGTTTTATCTGAAAAAATAAAAAAGTTATAGGGGTGAGCCACTTTTGAGACGCACCCGGTATGGTAAAGCAGATAAATCTTGTGTTGTTCAACATATTTTTAATAGAGATCATTTTATAAATGTTAATAATTTAAAATTATTCCAATATGATTCAATTTGTAGACATTTAGAAGTATAATATTAGAGCGTCAAGATGAAAAAATTTAAAAAAACTATGAACAGAAATAAAGGTCCAATTCTTTCTAGTTCTCAATTGCTATTGACCTCAGTAATTTCTTGTTAGACTCTATTGGTTTCGACACGCTTGGTTAATAACAATCCAGTGCCTATATAGACTACTGATGATGCTAACCTGGTTAGCAAAGCGCACATCCAGCGTGTTTTGGTGTGTTGCGGGAAACTATAAGATTTAATTTTGCTGAAATTCATTTATCTAGGCGACAAATCAGGGGCGCATATACCGGAGGCATAACGGGGTAATTACCCCTCCCATGAAGAAATTTATAAATAAGGTTAACGTTTTAGAATGTAGTAGAGTTGTCCGGTGGCGTAGAGGTACCGCTCTCGTCTACCAATTCAAAGGTTGTGGGTTCGAATCCTACAGCCGGCATTTCATCAGCCGACTATTTTTAATAAAATAAAAATAATTTGGGCATCTTGGTCGACTCAGCCTTAAATGCGTACTTGGGATTCACAATCCTGAGGTAATAATAGGCGGTTGAAGTGTAGTGCTAGCAACATTACCTTCCTTGTATACCAAACGGCTCTAGTATGGCAAGCTGTATCTTCATACTCCATGGCGTTAAACGCTATATACGGGAGCTATTATTATATATGTTACGGTTAAGGTTCGATGTCCGGTTAATGTCGACATTACCCGGTTAATCTCGTGAATAATACACAACAAAACAACCAAACCCAAACATTAACCTGTTAATGTCGACATTAACCGGTCGTCGGACTTTAACCGTAACATATATATTAGAATGTAGTATAAAATAAAAAGTGTCACAAATTAAATTAATAATACCAATCAAAATAGAAAATTCAGACCAATCCAAATTTCCTTTTCACAGTCACAATACAGCGTAAATTTGATTTACATCTAGTACCTACCTTACTTGAATAGATTGCCCCTATCCATCCTAGACTTAATCTCTATAGATGCACCACTGGTTTAAAGTAACAGGTTTTGGTGTATTGCGGGGAACCAGGGGCGGATACAGAAATTTATTTTAGGGGGGGCCCAAAATAAAAAGTAATGTAGAAAATGCTTTTTAGGGCGCCATTTTTAACCAAAAAGTCTAATATTTAACACAATTTAAAAGTTTTAGGGGTGTGCGGGTCTCATGGGCCCCCCCCTCTGTACCCGCCACTGCGGGGAACTATATAGTGTTTTACTTTGCAAGAATATATCTTGGCGACGAACATAACTAAATTACTTACTACGAAAGTATGTACTAGACAATTTTTTGTTTGAAATTGTCTAAAATGATTGGGCTATATTATGTGTCTACGTTTGCCCTCGGCCATTCGATAACAAAATCCAAGCAAATAATTGATTAGATAACAGATCTCTGTCAAAATTACATTTAAATAATATTTTTAGGAATCAATGTAACTTGTAAAATGTGCTGGTTATAATACCTCAAGAAAGGACCCGATTTGAATCATGTTCATTTAGAATATTTAACAGAATTGGGGGTGCCATGACATCTAATCCTTGATATATACTGTACAGAGTAGTAAGTATATCTTTATTATATTCTAATTTTAAATTATTTTTATTGCTATAACTTTGTTATGCCGCATTCTTTTAATTCTTTTCATATTTGAAATGCTTCCTTTTGAAGTTTTATTAAATAAATACATACCTACAGTTTTCGTGGAATATGGATATAAATTGTATAATTTTTGATTAGGTATTTCTTATGTTTAACATTATTGTAATCTCTCTAGTATTGTGTGCCTATATTGTAAAATATAGGTATTTTTATTGCTAGAATCTATATTAATACTAGAATATTTACAGCATTTTTGTCATTCTTTTCATAGTAGAGTAATGATATATAACTTTATTTTTATTTGTTTTGTTTATTACTGAAATGTGAAATATCTTTTAAAAATTGTAGAATTATATTTTTCCGAAGAAATTTGAAAGTGAATAAAAATGAACAGAAAAAATAATAAAATAGGTACATTTTTACTAAATTTGAAAAAAATACAAATAAATAAATTAAAAAAATATTACCCTAAGGATGTATAGGATATGGGGAACGTACAGATTTATTAAGTTTTGATAATTCTTTTCTGTAAATAGCCCTAAGTGATTATTAGCAGACCATACCGACAGGTATGGTCGGCTATGAAGATCGGCAAAAAAAAGTTTTTTTCATTTCACTCAAAATGAGTTGTCTGTCTGTCTGTCTGTCCGTCCGTCTCTCTGTCCGTCTCTCTGTCCGTCCGTCCGTCGGTCTTTCCGTCTGTCTGTCTGTCTGTCTGTCTGTCCGTCTGTAACACGATAAAAACCGCAAAAACCAAATTTAACCAAATTTCGCACAGAAATACGGTGGCACCCAAGAATCTGGCCATTAGTTTTTGGTGAGGGGATGGTAAGGAGGTATGGGAGGGGGTTAAAAATTTTAAAAAATCGTAACTCCAAAATTACAGTAGCTAGCGAAACGCGGTTTTCAATTTAAGATTAGGAATAATATTTGCAACAAAATTTGTAATAACATCAAAATCAGTCAAAGTCGCAGTTTTTGAGATAAAAAAAATTGGCGCCGGGAGGTAGGTATAGCCGCCCATACTAAAATATGTTAATATCTATACAGGGTAGTCCAAACTGTATTCCGGAAACTTCGGCAGCATATTCTGCAGATAAAAATATGTAAAATAGTTCGTATAAATGTATGTCCTAAAATGCTTAGTTCCGGAGATACAGGGTGTACAAGTTTCATTTTTATTTCGATTTTTTCCAAATAACTTCTGAAGTAACGTCAATATTTGGATGAAAATTCCACACCTGTAATTTTCAACCAATCAAATGTGTTTTTTTGACAAATCACCATGGTAACGGATAAATTTTAGTTATTTTTTTTTCCTTGTGGGCACCCAACAGCAAATTATACTGGGAATTTTTTGACGTTTATAATGACAGAATATCTTTTTGAGAGTCTGGTTTTTAATTGTTTACATGATAATTTTGATTCATTTCAATTACAAAGCTGAGATGAAAGTTTGTAAACTGCTTCCATACGCTTGACTTCGATTTCCTAGTATTCGCGGGTGTCAAATGCTTAATCTCCTGGCGAATATTTTCTTTGCTTTCATGACCGAAGCGAAACATTTTTTTAAGCCGTGCCGCTTGACAGCTTCAAAACTGAAATAGTTTTTAGGTTTGGGTGTCACTCAGTTGTCATAGTAACTAAATAATCAATTCCACCTATTGCCTGGAAACTTATATGGTAAAATTTTGATAAAATAATTTAGTACTCACTAAAAACACGGTATGTCGTTAGTGGTAGGAAAAATAATTTTTAGAGGTTACTAGTTTATTTGGTTGCCTGTGATATGCATATACAGGGTGTTTCCTAATTAATCTAAAAAATAAAAAATCGTTAGAAAACGGATTAAGGCGGGCTCTTAATAAGTATATTTATTTTTTTCTCGACAACTGTTTGATGAACAAGAAAAACTCAAAAGATCAATTTTGTTAAAATAGGATGGCCAGTCAAGAAAAAATATATTTTCTTTAAAAAAGCAGTGGTGTACCATTTATGTTAAGCAAAAAAATCGATTTTTTTTAAAATTTTTAACACCCTGTAGATCAGAAAGGAAGTACTTTAGACCCAATGCTTATATAAAAATTGTTTTAAGAACACATGAGGAATCACACCACAATTTTTTGAGACTAATTAGAAAATACCCTGTATATTGTCAACTTGACAATGATTGCTGATAAATCAAAAAATACCTTTTTAGTGATATAAGCCCGATTTTCGCAAGAAAAATTTTGATTTTTATTGAATTTGGGCCTGCGTCTGCAAATACCGGTTTGTTTTTTAATTTTCTATCTATCTAAATTTTAAATATCATAGTCAGAAATAGTTTTATTATTTATTAACTGTAAAATTGGTGTTTTCTTGTTGTGTTGCATCTTGCAAAGAAACTAACAAAACTGCAAAAATGCACGTGTTTCCAAAAGACGATAAAGTATGTATCTTAGATAAAAGAAAAATATATGGTATGTATTCGTTGTTTGATTTGTTTTTTCTTTCGCTTTAAAATCTCGGTCTATTCATTAGACAGCCAGTCGACTTACGATCATTTACATGAAACTGTAAAATAAAGTGAAAATATATATATTCTTATGTTTTATTAAAGTTACTCTGATATACTAATATATCAGTGTAACTTTAAAAATAAATCCTTTGAATTCAATTATAAACATAAAAGCATTTACAGCAGAAAAGGCGAAGGCGCTGGGTTAAACATAGTCTCCACTAAAAACACGGAGGGGCGCTTTGACCCAAAATTTTACTATTAAGTTTCATATCTATCTTAATAGTAGATTATTTTCTTTTATCTAGTAGATTATTTTCTTTTATCTATGATTCCACCAAAAATCGAAAAATACATTTTAATTATTTGATTTTCAAACACAATTTGGTGTGGAATTTTCTTACCGAATACCACACGAGGACAAATTAAATCCGGACATTTTTTCGAGCTCATTAATATTTTGACCTCTAGTGGTATTACTAGGAAAATTGATGTCTGGGAGTTTTTTGACATGAGGAATTTGATTTTGGTGTCAATATGACACCTATTTGTAGGGGGCGCCACCTACATGTATTTTTCTGTTTTGAAGAGTAATAACTTTTCGTCCGTACCTGCATAAAACAACTGAGTGAAAAAATATACATTTCCGTGATTTTTTTACGTAAAAAATGTCTCTTGGTAAAAATCGCTACGAGCAACCCTTCTCAAGATATTTAGAATGGTAACAGCCAATATATGTCATTATTGACAAAAATATACATGTTGAGTAGATAGTTTTCTTTCACTAAAATAATAAATTTGGGAACTTTTTATTTTTTATAATTAATCATAAATTTTTCTTCGAAAAAATGATGATAAAATAATTTCTATTGAACTTTTGGCAGCAAAACATTTCAAATTTACGATTTCTGTCTAATAACTATTTAGTCAACATGTTTTATGTCAATGATGACAGGTATTGATAATTTCGATTCCAATTATCTCGGAAACCATTACTCGTAGCGATTTTTACTAAGAGATATTTTTTACGTAAAAAAGTTCATAAATGTATATTTTTTTCCTCGGTAGTTTTATACAGGTACGGACGAAAAGTTATTACTCTTCAAACCAGTTAAAACATATGTAGGTGGCGCCCTCTACAAGTACCTAGGAGTCATATTGAAATCAAAATCAAATTTCTCATATCAAAAAACTCAATCAATTTTCATCCAAATATTAACGTTACTTCAGAAATTATTTGGAAAAAGTCGAAATAAAAATGAAACTTCTACACCCTGTATCTCCGAAACTAAGCATTTTAGGACATACATTTATACGAACATTTTTACTTATTTTTATCTGCAGAATACGCCGCCGAAGTTTCCGGAATACAGTTCGGACCACCCTGTATATACTAATGGCCAAATTTTCGGGTGCCACAGTATTTTTGTGCCAAATTTGGTTAAAATCGGTTCAGCGGTTTTTGAGTTATTGTGTTACAGACGGACAGACAGATAGACAGACAGACAGACAGACACCATGAAAATATTTTGTATTTAGGTCATTTATGACCCAAATAACTCATTTTGAGTGAAATTAAAAAAACTTTTTTTTGCCGATCTTAATAGCCTACCATACCTATTGGTATGGTCGGCTAAAAATATCATGTATGGGCGGTTATACGTGCCTCCCGGCGCCAATTTTTTTTTTTAATAACCACTAAATACCGTATGATCGAATAAAAACGGCGTCCAGTTGAAATGACGATCGATGACATTTCCCATATAAATTTTCACTTATAATATCACAAGAGCTTAAATTATTTTCGGAAATTTTTTTGAGGGCACGAATATTTTAGGAAAATTATCCCTCGTCTTCGACTCGGGATAATTTTCAAAATATTCGTGCCCGAAAGAAAATTTCCAGGAATAATTTAAGCTTGCGTGGTATTCGGTAAGAAAATTTCACACCTAAATTTGAAAAAAAAATATTAATCCAACATGACATTTTAAAATAATTTCAATTTGTTAAGTTGGCCAAGGTATTGATGTTTTTGACATATTATGTGTTTTGTCATTTTTGTTTGCGATTCTGTCATTAAGCTATTACTAGTTTTAAAACGTCTGTACGTAGAGTAAGAAGTGTATAGCGAAATGTCGCGATTTGGAAAAATAAACCAACAAGTCATTAAAGAAGAATTTGAAAATATAAAACCAGATAACACCCGAAAATCAAAATCAAGTGTATATCCATCATATTTCGTTAAATAGAAAAATACCAGCTTTAGTTAAATAAAGGCGGCAGAACTATATTTTTTTAGAACATGGCAATTTCGAAGAAATTCATATGTAGGTATATCTAACATATTTCCTTAAATAAAAATATTACCAACCTTAGTTACATCAAATGCTAAAACTCAAATGGGTAATATTTCAATATATAGACATTGTAGTTCATTCACATTATGATTGTAGATCTTATGTTTTCCTTTTCAACTGTCAAAAATTTCCACTAAAGTTTCGTGGCGCCTCGAAAAAATTTCCGGAAATTTTTCAGTTGAGGAAGAGAAGACGAATCGTGTGCACAAGTGGTCGATTTATTACTTAACTCAAATAACAAAAATAGTACTTAATACTAAAAAATTACGTAGTCTAAGTGTCCTTAATCGTGGTCGACACCCGACTGCCGCCTCGACTCCTTTCGTCCGCTCGCCCCCCTCTTCACCGGGCTGGCGACCGCTACCGCCGTCGGCTCCTTTGTCTGGATCCTTCGTAACTATACACTGCCCGCACTAAACAGAACCGTCACAACTTGATGGAACTGACTCGGTATTAAAATAAATAATTAATTTCTAAGAATATTATGAAATTAAAATCTTGTTTTTTTCTGAAAACTCGTCTTGTACTTGATGGTAACTAGAAACAATATAAGATTTATTTTCGGTGAATCTTAAACAATCTTACTAATATCTTAAATGATTAACGTGCTTATTCCCAATTTTGTATTAGCCTTGATTAAAGGGTATTAATATAACTGGAGTGTACACGAAATAAGTTTTTAGATAATCTTTAAAGTTAATTATATTTATTTAAAAATAACTTCTAACAATATGTTTAACGTTTAAATATCAGAGAAATATTAGATAAATATATCTCGCCAAGTAGAAGTCTTGCAATTTTTTAATAGATTTAAAAAAAGGCACTTTCTACATGGAAAATTTTTAAAAAATTATATTTTGAGTAATTCATTGCAAATGAAACTTTTGAAGAATGAAACAATATTTGCCTAATGAAATTTTTATTTTTTAATATACAGGGTGTTTTAAATTCGAGTCTCACTATTAGGATCTAGGAAACTGTAAGATAAAACAGGTGGATTACATTGGTGTAGAATGTAGAATGTAGAATGGGGGAAGGGTGACCTTAAAGATCTCTTGTGTCCCCCTTTCTTGAGTTGTATGTAACTCATCATACAGTCTATAACTCATCATACATGGGGCTTCTCCTATTGTAGGGGGGACAGGGTATTTCCCATCCTCCTCTGACAACAGCTGTTTATCTCCAAGAAAATTAAGGTTTGGGGTTTAGCTCTGTGTGCCCTTCGCAGTCGAGGAGCTTGTCTCCGGCTGAAGTACCCTTGAGGTGGAGGCTATCTGTGTACATTTTCTCCACCTCTAACTTGGTCTCTCCTTAGACCTGATACCGGAGTTATCTCGCCAACTTCCTGTTTCATCAAAAAATGACTACAACATTTGATTTTTAAATGGCACCCTCGGTATTTTTTACTTTGTTCGATAGAAAATGAGACTTTGAATAGATTGACATATCATATGTCAACTTTTGACATTTTCGCTTAAAACAAAATTGTATTTTAAATTTCAATCTATAGTGCCATGGCTGCGTTAAAAACACTAATTCTTAATCAAGGAGCCTGGAAAAAAAATTGGATCGTCTAATGTTTTTAGTGTCTTATCCTGGCCGGTTAAAAGATGCCCAAATCCTATTTTTAATCATATCTCATTTTTTTTTCAATTGTAATGAGGGTGGCTCATTAGCATATTCGAAAAAAGAATTTTTTACGAATAATTTGGTACCACACACTTGGTAAAATTGTCGTTGTGAATCGCATGTTGCAAATTCAAATAAACCATATTCTAAAATGTCAAAAGTTGACATATGAAATGTTGTTCTATTCAGAATGTCATTTTTTATCGAATAAAGTAACAAAGTACCGAGGGTGTCATTTAAGAATCAAAAGTTGTAGTCATTTCTGGTGGAACAGGAAGTGACTGAAAACAATTGAAAACGTTAATCAATCGTAATTTATGTCATATACTAACATACCAAATCTCGATTTTTATCTGAAAAAATAAAAAAGTTATAGAGGAGAGCCACTTTTGAAAAGCACCCTTTATATGAAAAAATAAATAAACTTGCTCGCATGCATGAATAAAAAATTAAATAAAAGAAATAAAAAACAATTAATATAAAGCTTTATCATTAGAGGGGGGTCGTCCAGTATCTATATTTCACTGTATTACAGAAAAAAACAGGGTTGGCATGATTTAAATCAAGTGATTTTTTTAATTTTAATCGGGTGATTTAAATCAAAAATTCAACTCTTTTAAAACTTTAAAATAAATCGAAAAATAACTGTAAAACTTATAAAATTGTGTCCTAGAAAACTATAAGAAATATTTCTATAACATATATACCCTATATCTATTCATTAAATAAAATATTACATTTGCTATTGTAACGTTTAAGTTTAAATACTATAAAATAAATCGAAAAATAATTGTAAATGTTATAAAACTATATAAAAATTTATTTGTATAACACATATATACATACTACATAATATGTAACATTTTAATTAATGAATAGATATTATCTATTCATCAATTTGAAATGTATGTACAAAAAAATACAAAAACAATACAATTTGAAATGTATGTCACGTTAGACCTATATCTTCAAATCGTTGTGAGAAAATATGCTGTTTTATATCTTTCATCAAGATAACTTCTGTCTTCATCAATTTATCTTCTAGTTCTTTCCAAATTTTTACCGACATTTCGACCTGGATCTGGAGTATTTTACACTTTGACAATAGATAATACTAATTTCATTCTCGATTTAAGACTATTTCCGAACAATAGTGTATTGTGTAAAATTATACTTCTTTTGACGAGGTTGTAAGTTTGACGGACTAGCAGAAACAGGGAGGCACAAAAGTACTTTTTAATCCGAGTAGTATATACTATATTTTTTCAAACATTACAAATAATGTTTTAATCAATTTCAAACTTTGCAAATAATATAAAAAGTAATACCTTGTAAGTAATCGAGCAACAATTTATACCTTTGTTGAAATTGACGCTTAATTTCAGTTTAATATTATATTTTTGTACTTTTATGCTTAGGCGTAAGTGCTTTACTTTTATGCCTAGGCGTTGAAATGCCAAAAATTAATACTCTTGTGACATTTGAAAAAAAATCCTTTGTGATCTGAAGCGAGCGACTTTTTTGCGGGATATATTGGTGACCCATGCGATGTGGGAAAATGACAACGCGCCGTAGATTGTTAATGTTATCAGTATCGGGCAGAGTTATAAAGATTTAGCCATTGAGGATAGGACTTTAATTGGAATTAAGTCCTAATTATTTAGAAATCCGATTTAAATAATGTTCTCTATTAAAATCAAAAAAATCTGATTTAAATAAAGAAATTCCGATTTAAATAAAAAAATCTGATTTTTTTTATTTTTTTTTAAAATCATAATTTTTTCCAACCCTTGAAAAACTTACTAATACTTCTCCATAAACTTATTTATTGTGCTCCTATCGATAAATCAATTTTTGCTAATCGTTGCTCTGTTTAACTTTCGTACCATCTGGCATACATTAGCTTCGATTTGTTCGGGCAAAATTAAATAATTTATTTCCTCCGGTAAATATTGAATTAGTTGTAGAAATTGACTTGGACTTGTCTAGTTCAGTTCCGTTTCCTTTTGCCAATTCAAATGAAATAGAATTTTAAAACAAACGTCACGGTTCTAGATTCGAGAAAATAATAAATTAATTCTGATAGATATTTCTAGAAGAGATGGAAGTGTTTTTCTATTTTGGAGTGTTTTTATGGGTGAGTTCAACAGCATCATCGTTGGCTTTGACAGAAAACAGTTTGACAGTGGTGCCCAGACAGGCAAACTACAGTGAAGTGATACCTGTAACGCTCAATGCGACTATAGAATATGTGCTGGTATATCAACAAAGTCCAGTAAGTATTAGATAAAATACATGGTGGTTTGTTTTTTAAAAGTAGCACGATTTGAGAAAAATAATTTTTGGTCATTTGCCAAAGTTGGACGACGTCGAGAATATTACGTCGACAATTGAATTGTTGACGCGTCGACCAGCGGCGTAGCATGGCGTCAATACAAGGGGATTAGGGTTCTTCTGAGACATCAAAGAACCGGGACTCGAAATTATTAATTCCTGGTTCTTTCGGTACTTTTGGTACTCGGTAATAATAATTAAAAACATATTTTTTGTTACGTGCGAAAGACTTTTGATACTATCTAGCGGTCGAAATCGAACTCTTCTAAATAAGTATTGGTGCCTTTGAATAAGAAGACTAAGGAAGGAGCATAATGCTATCCATGTATTCATGCATGGTGGGCGGAAAAAGCACCATAAAAGCACTCTAGGGTGGGGATCCTTGACAGTTCTGTTTGACGATTCATTTGACACATTTGAATTTGATTTGAAATTTTGTGGATTTGTCAGTCTTTACAGAGCTTATTTTATGTTATTTATTATTTATTCTACTACTGATAGTTGTATAAAGGTAGTAAATCTAGATGGAAATTGTGGCAGAAATTAAATTAACAGTGACACTATCGCGATTTATCGAAAAAGACTCTAAAACAGTTGGTTGTGTAGCGTGCGGTAGATCTCGGCAAAAATTGAGTGAAATAATGGAACAACTTTTCGCTAGTAAGTGACTATATAATATACATACGTGTAGTAAACCGATCATTTATGAAATTCACTTAAATTAACTAAATTATATATTTTTCTTGCATTTTAGCTTTTATTTATTACTTGTCAAAGATTAGATGTCAAAGAATTTAGATACGTTAATTTGACTTACCTGCTTCAGTAGCGTATCGGATGTTTGTGTTAATAAATACTTATTATAACTTATCTATTTTTATTAGAATTATATATTTTAATAACAATTTTAATAACTACCAACATTTATTCACAACGTAAAGTAAAACAGCAAATTATTGAGTCTACCCCACGTCTACCCTACATCATAGTTATACATTTTTTAAATAAAATTAGAACGACACTGATAAACCGGAATTTAAGTCGGCCATATTTGAGGCCCATCGCGGTGTACCTAAGATTTTTGATATGCTCCTTCCTTAGTCTTCTTATTCAAAGATTGGTGCTAACTCTTACTGTTCTTACTTCTGAAGTTATTTTGAAGTCTCTATAATGTTTATTAGCAATTATTGAAGTTTAAATATGATATTTTATTATTTAGTATAATATTGCTAAATGTATTAGTTATATTTTTTTGTGTTATGTTTTTATGGGCATTTGCATCTTTAATTGAAAATGTCAAGTTTTTTCTCAAATTTAGTTAAGTTGGTTTCGAGGTTGTTTTATGTAATCTTTAAGCTAACTTGTGTTTTCGTTTTTTTTTCACTTGTGTTCATTATTTGTGTTTATGCTTACTTTCTGATGACTTAATAATTTGATATTTTTTCTTTTGGAACTCAAATTTTTATCGGCTTTACTTGTGTTAATTGACGAACTTACTGTTAATTGACGAACTCCACAATCATTGAACGAAAATATTTTAGTACGGTTCCGGAAACTCTAATTAATACTACCAATTAGGGTTCAGATCTTTTTGGCCAGCACAGAACCGGGCCTAGTAACAATAATTAAAAAATTATATTTTTTACATGAGAAAGTCCTTTGAAACTTTCTAGAGGTCGAAATCAAACTCTTCTAAATAAGTAATGATGCTATTTCTTATTGTCCTTGTTTCTTTTCTCTTTTGAAGTTCCTATAATATTTATTATGTTATGTTTTAATGTTTATTTGCATTTTTAATTCAATATTTTAGGGCTTTTGTCTCAAATTCAGTTAAGTTGGTTTATGTTGTTTGATATGAAATTTAAGTTACCTATACCTTGTTCTTTACTTGTGTTCATGTTAATTTTCTCTTGACTGATTACTTAATAATTTGATATTATTTTCATTAAAAATCTCATTTCTTTTATACATTTATCATTAAAAAACCATCCCTTGCTTTCTGATTGATGAACTGCACCACCATTCAACAAATATTACCGAGAGAAAAGTACCGAAAAAAACGGGAAATCCCGGTTCCTAAGAGGCGCGATACCGAAATTCCCGGTTCCGAAAAACAGCTCCGGTTCCGCAAATCCTAAAAGGGATGAAATAATATCTGCATTTAACATTTTACCAACACAATATTTTTTTTTTCTTTTTTTTTATTAAAGTCTTTAATTTTGAAGGTACAAAAATAAAATATACAAAAAAATTATACCGCGATATATGAGATATTTTAATAACTTATTATTGGTAGACCTAAAGCATGTAGTCTGACGTACTACAATTAATTGAACAAAGAAAAATACTCAATGTCCGATTGGTTAAACCCTGCTACTAAAAGCTGGACCACACTATATAGTAGATACTTAAAGATGAATTTATTAAATTTTAGGCTATCAATCCGTACACAGTTAGGGCTTGGTGTGAAAATATCAACCCCAATTTACCCGTACAGATAGTAGTTCGCCAGGCTAAACAAGTGACGTCATGGACAGTACCGGAAATGATCGAAACAACTAAAACTAAACACATATTGTATTTTTATAATACGTCAAAAACCATGTGCCACGAGTCTATGGACGAGATAACGCATAACAATCCAGGTAAGATATACAGAGTGTAAAAAAAATAGTTTACATCTGTCTGTTATACGAGTGAAAATAAAAAGATATTTTGACGAAAGTTTGAACACTCTGTGGACTAGTTTAACAAAGTAAGGGTTTTAAAAACCACTTTTTCATCAAGGTGCTATCTTTCTAAATAAAAAATTAAAGTTGTCCTCTGTCAATTATACAGAGGAAAACAAAACGTTGATATTTTGGTAAAAGTTTGAAACACCCTGTGGAGTATGATAACAAAGCAAGAAATTTATAAATAACTTTATCATCTAGGTGTATATTTTCTCGCTAGTTTCTATTTTGATTCATCTCAATAGCTGTATTTTTGTTGGAGATATTCGCTTTTGAAGAAGAGAGTAACGATTTACAGCAATTTTACCATTAATGTTATTGCTTTTGCTTCTAATCGACACACATATGAATTAGTGTTTATTGTTTTTGTAATGTCAAATTATTTTTGTCTATTGGCAGATACCGTATGATCGAGAAAAAACGGCGTCAGCGATGGCTATGGAATAAAGATCGCTGTCATTTTATATGTAAATTTATATGGGAAATGTCATTGATGTTCATTTCCCAGCCAACTGGACGCCGTTTTTTTTCGATCATACGGTACTTTAGCAGGAGTGGATTTAAGTCTATAAGTTGTATCTGCTAATCTGAAAACCATCTCTTCTAGCCAATGGACACTAATAATATGATTGAAACGTCATATTACAGTTGCATTAAAAAACAATAAACGCTATTTCATAGGTGTGTTGATTGTGAACAAAGGCACAGGCAGGCTTCTAATGCTAAAATTTCTGTAAATCGTTACTGTCTTCATCAAAAACTAATATCTCTAAATAAGAAAAATCTATTGAGGTGAATCAAAAAACAAACTATCGAGAAAAGATGCGCCTTGATGATAAAATTGTTTTTAAATTCCCTACTTTGTTAAACAACAAAATAACAACATTTTGTTTTACTCGTATAACAGAGAGATGGTAACTGTAATTTCTAATTAAAAAAAGAGGCTAAAAAGTCAAATAATTTAGGCAGAAATTGCTTAAAAAATCATCAAAATCGGTCCAACAGAACAAAATATATTAGATGAAAAATGTAAAGTGTTAGCCTTTTCTAAACTAATATCATTATCTTCTTTTCAGATTTTTCAATGGGTCCTTTGACCGTATCTCAGAGTTTCATCATGGCACTGTCAACATCATCACCAGACAACGTTACGGTTAACGTGGAATTGAAAGAAGACGAGGATTTTTACGTTTTCAGGGATATCAAGTACAATATCACAGTATCTCCTAGCCAATCGCGATACGTTTACTATAAATTCGATAATTCTTCCGCTGATACCGTAGTTATCGAGGTAGATTCAGATGATGACGTTTGTTTGACAGTGTCAGTCCAAGACGGCAGGGTAAGATTATGTATTATTAATAGATTAGATTTTTTGCAACCTTTCTTTTCCTCAACAATATAGGACCGTCCTATGGCTACCTGTAAAGCCTGTTGTGTTTGTACCTGTTCTATATCTGCACCCAGTCTACTATCCCTGTGCCCTGTACAAGCTTGTGTAGGTCCTTGATAGTATAGGAGCATAGTTCCTGCGGTTTTAGTGATGGTTTCCCAAATAGAAAATGCCGCTTGCGATCCAGAGCCTCACAGTGACATAGTATGTGCTCTGCTGTTTTAAGTAAAGTTTGCAATTGATACTCGTTGAGCTTGTTTAGGTAGCTCTTGACAGCCATATGTCCTACCAAGAGACCTGTTGTAATCCACACTTTATTTCTGCTGACCATTAGCTGTTCCTTTGTGGTTTTATGATTAGGTCTACAAAACGGTACCGTAAAATAGCTGACATAATTTGGCGGCCGTTTTTGCCAACGTGTAGTACGGCCGCTTTGACGGTGAACAATAAATACGGTGCGATAAAATGTTGCCTCTTTTCACTTTGAGTCAGTTCAAATCAGATAGCGTGTATATTTACAAGATGGACGATCTAAATTTGGTCCTTTTAAGAGTTCTTCAGGATGAAAAATCGTCCGAAGAAGAGAGCAGAAGGCAAGAATTTGATATTTATAAAATCCGGAAGACAGAGGGTGTTTATGAAATTTTGATATGCCGTCATCTAATACCAAATATCAATAAATTTAAAGAATACTTTTGATTATTCCCAGAAAACTTCGAAAACTCCATTCGTAACCTGGAATGAGAATCCTCCAACAGTCTAAGACATTCGAAGAAATTTCTCAGAACTTACCACCCAGAAAAATCAAAGATTTTTCTTGAATAGGAACAATCTTCGGATATATGTCTCCTCAATAAGCACCTCCTCATGACAAATGCAGATTCTCTGGGGAAAATGGGGAAACACTAGAACACCTCAACATTGAGTACGCCGCGCCGAGACGACAACCATTCGTGCCATAGACTTTGGTACGACTGTAAAACCATCCTAGGTACTCGCTTTTGTCAAAGCTCTCATATTATATTATGAGTTATAACTTAAAATGGGGGATTTGTATTGTATTGTATTGTATTGACTAAGAGTGAGTCCCATGGGACCCTCCACTGCGGCCGCGAGGACCTATTGTGGCTCAGTTTCTACAAGCTCTAATATACAAGAGCGTCAAAGTTCACCCTCAAGACCCAGCCTCTTAATATAGGCCGTTATGTCTGAGGGCGATATGTCTCCTAGGTCTGATAGGTCTAACATGGGTTTGCCAAACATCTCAAACCTGGTCCTGCCCCCAGCGGGGCAGGTACACATAACGTGCTTCATTGTTTCGTCATCTTCCATACAGAGTCGGCATTCGGCGTTTTCCACCAGTCCCATCCTCTGTAGGTGAGATCTCAGCCGGCAGTGGCCCGTGTACACTGCAGTGAGCGTACGCGCTCCATTCCTACCGGCCTTTAGGAGTTCTCCTGTTCTATGTTTGGATGGCCCTGGTAGGATTTTCTTGGCATGTTCCATTCCGGGACTGTCATTCCAGTCCCGGAACGTCGCATCCCTAACCCATTCACAGAGCCTGTCTCTTGCGAGATTTTTAGGAACGTTAAGTGTCGGTTCTGGGTCCACGAATGGCGAGCCTGCACCAATTTTGGCGAGGGAATCAGCACGTTCATTTCCCTCTAGGCCGACATGTCCCGGTATCCATATTAGCGACACTTTGTTCCTATCTCCCAGTATATTGAGTAGTTTCTTACAATGAAGAATCGTCATAGACGTGCTTTTCGTTGCCTCAAGTACTTTCAGCGCGGCTTGACTATCCGAAAATATGCATATTGTTTTCCCGGTGTATTGCTGTTCTACCAGCAGTTGCACACAGGTTTCAATAGCATATAGCTCAGCTTGGAAAATCGTGGTGTGTTTTCCAAGACTGTGGTAGATCTCAGTCTTTGGACTGCTGCAGTAAATTCCTGCGCCAGATCCTTTTTCGTTTTTGGATCCGTCCGTGTACCAACACATTTCCGCATGTAGTAAACCGTTTCCCGGCTTATCCCACTCGTCCCTATTCGGAAACAGGACGTTGTAGGCTGTGGGGGATAATGGGGGATACACTAGATCTATAAGGTCGCTGTGATTAACTTCCCATCTCCCATACATTCTATATTCTTCTAGAATCAAACAAAATTAAAAGTCGATATCACCAGAACAAATGATATGCATTTATTTAAGATAAATAAAAGTAACTAGTAAAAATAATAGTATTATAAAATGGTATTATTCTAATCTCTGAATGTATTCAGAAGCATTCGGATGGTCCTAGAGAAGCATCACAGATGTTCGCATTACTCTACTTTGACTGTACTACATTCTCTACTTTGACTGTATAGTGCTAATTCCGCATTTCCAATCATAGTAGCAATCTCCATTCTGAGCCTAGCCTGTTCTGATGCAGGTAGTTTTTTACAATCGTGGCCATAGATGCAAAAAACAAGTCGTTCTCGTCTTGACCTCCCTGCACATGCTGTGGTCTCGGAGCGAATATGGCCAATGGAGAAGTTGTCCTACTGGTACTGGCGATGCTGGGGGTACTGTATATTTCGGATTTAATAGGTTCTAACGTGCAAACATTCCGGGAGGTAGTGTAGCTTTGTTCTTCGGCACTGTCTATTTTGGATATGATTGGTGTATCGATCTGGTCCGTGTCTTCCTGGGAGCTTTCGCTAGTCTCTTCATTATTTTCTATGTAACTTGCTGTTCTAAAATTAAAATAAGAATAATGCGGAGGCTTGATTTCTGAAACAATTTTATCTTTACCTCCGTTTTATTGGGCAGTCATCTAAAAAAGACAGTAGCTCCGATCTTTTTTTCACAGCCTCACCTACTGATCCAGGACTAGGTTTTCCCCTTTTCCTAATATAGTAGTCTCTTATGTAAGCCCAACGTTTATTGCAATCGGTATCTGAAACGTAAAAAAATAATTATCTTAGATAGGAACTATCAGAAAAAAAAAAATAGCTATCTTATCCGATAGTCAAGCATCCTTAATAGCGATCAACTCAGTAACCATCAATTCGAAGTTGCTCAAAGATGCCTAGTGAAGCTGAACAATTAGACGAAGAAAGTAAAGTCATCCTACTCTGCGTGCCAGCCCACCAAGAGATAGAAGATAGTGAAAAAGCAAACGATCTAGCTAGAAAAGGAGCGAACATTACACTAACTGGACCAGCATCTTTCTGTTTTCCAAGTGGAAATCAGCTTAAAGCAGAACTGAAGAATCTGGAAGACTCCATTTGTAACCTGGAATGGAAATCCTCAAATGGTCTAAGACCCCCGGATAAATTTCTTAGGATTTACGACCGAGAAAAATCAAATCGAAAGAAAGATGATTAAGAGAACATTGAAATCTTAGAGTGTATAATTATGTACATTAATAATAAACAAACACTCACCTGTTTTAGAAAGCATTGCCCCAATTTCACGCCATAAGCTTGTTTTCAGTTTCGTCTTCCTGTGCTCTGAAGATTTTACATTAAAAAGGGCTTCGTGATTCCGAACAAAGTCGATTAGAATTTCATCTTGTTGGCTGGACCAATTAGTTTGTTCAGCCATTTTTAATAATGATAACCAAACGCTAGAATCGCTACACTGCAGCACCGTCAAAAGGCGTGCTTGCAATATAACAACGCCTGTAAACTGACTCACCGCTCCGTAGCGGTCGCTTCATAAAATACGCTGCCGTATTTTTGCGCCGACGCACGACGCTTTGGAGAGACACATCGATTGGCAAGAAGTGGCAAGTCCCATTAAATAATAATTTCTATTTATATGGCGAGGGTCATAGACGCTTTTTAGCGGCGTAGCTCGTCGTCAAGTTACTGCCGCTGTTTTACTGTACCGCTTTGTAGGAATCCGAAGCTTTACTGCACTACGGGTCATCAACCCAAGAAGGAACTACCCATTTACTACCTGAGAAGTATATACATGGTGGTTTAAAAAACATGTGCCATTTCTCATTGGGAGATTCCTCACATGAAAATAAGATTTATTTTTTATATCAACATAGCTATTCTGCTTTATTTTTTAGCTACAGGGTGTTAAAGCCTTCTTTTTTTTTATTTGTTATAATTTGTTTGTAAAATTAGCAAACTCCATAAGACGACGCATGGTGTCATTGATGACGTGCAACGAAAGTTGTTTTAATTTCCCTTTATTAAAAAAGTGTCGACACATTTACCAGGGACGTACATATGGTGGTATGGGTTGTTACTGGAATATTTTTTAAAAAAACATGTTAGCCATTGATTTTTTTCTTCGTAGCAAAATTGTGTAGGCCATTTAATGTCTATTAAAAGTTGTATCTTGTTATTTTGTTAATTTCGATCACCTTGATGAGATAGACAGAATTTTATTAATCACAATTAATAAAACTAAAACAAAAATAAAATTAATAAATTATTTATTTAATTTGATTTTATTATTAAATTTTATTGAAATTTATAACAATGATGTTCAGTGTGACTTATAGTAAATTCAAGAAAAAATTAATGCTGTTAATAATATTTTTTAAGATCATGTAACTTGAAAAACTGTACATTTCCGCACCCATGTTTATAGGAACTTTTTTCATATTTTTGATGAGGAATCAATGATTACTGATTGGATTTTGGCCAGTTAATGACTTAAAAAAGCTTGCTGTTAATCTTGGATTAAGACAAATTAATAAAATTGTGTTTATCTCACCAAGGAGACTGAAATCGACAAAATATCAAGAGACAACTTTTAATCCGCATTAAGGTGCGTACTCACTGAGCGAACGAATGCCGAACGAACAACGAAGTCCGAACAACGAAGGTTCTGGGTTCGTTCGGCCGTAATTAAAACACGACCTCACCAATGAGCGAATCCGAAACGAATGCAGAAAGTTCGCTGTTTGCTTGGCTTCGTCGCTTTGTGAGTTTGTTTAGAGAAAAAATGTGTGATAAAATTATAGCGGCATCAGCTTTTATAATTATTGCGGGATCACTAAAAGCAAAAAAACAAAAAAGGAAAAGAAAACATTTGATGTCAAAGGTTTATCAAATACGGGATAAATATAGGGGACTGGACCTTTTAATTGATTTTAGAAGAGATCTGGGACAGTTCATTCATTTTTGTAGAATATCTCCTACAGATTTTGAATTTTTACTTGGAAGAATCAGTGAAAAAATCAGCTTTTTAACTTAAAAATACAGCGTCCAAATGCAAACAATACAAACTCGGATTCGGAGTTCCCCCAAAAAATTAAAAACCCGCGAATCTCGTCAACACTGAACTGCGAATCTCTTTGATATACCGCTCTCCTACCGAACGTAGGCGACGGCGAACCGAACTTAAAAATGCCATTCGATTCGCCTTCGCATTTACGTACACACTTGACGAATTATTCGGAGTTCGTTGTTCGTTCGGCATTCGTTCGCTCAGTGAGTACGCACCTTTAGACGGCCTACACAACTGTTTCACCGTACATGAAACTCACGTACTGTTCTGTCAAGTGAAAAAAGTCAGTGGCGCACATTTTTTTTCTAGAAAAATATTCCAGTTTATTCCTTGTGACGCCGTTTGTCTTTGACGTGGTTTTTTTCGATTGTATGGATTTTTTTTTCTTTTAGACTCTCTCTAGCTTTGATTTTTTTCAAATTTTTAGTGTCCTGTGCTTGATTCAAACAAAGATGTTAAATATGAAGGGGTCTTTCAAACTGTTAACAGAAAAGGAGCCATTACTGTAGCTGTAAGTATTGCTATCTTAAAAAAATATTTAAACAAGACAGCAATGAAGATAAAATATAACACGCGTCAACTTATCATTTTCTAATGTCGTAGTTTCTTGCTACTTTCAATATACAGGGTGAGTTTTAATTAAATAAGTCCAAATATATATGAGAAACATATTTTCTCTTTATTGTTTTTCAAATAAATCTAAAATAACCGAATTATTTTACTTTGAAAATTTCCAAAAAAAAAAATTTTGCTTAAATTTTGGGAACCACTGGATCTTTTCTTGTAAATTTAATCTATTATATATGCTGCATATTATCAAAAAATTATGTTTTTTAACTAAAAACTAGTTTGTTTGCGAGAGGCCCGCATAATCGTGTTTCTATACTATTCTTAAAAATATATGCACTTATTTATGACTAACCCTGTATAGGGTGTTTCTAAATAAGAGCTCAATATTTTAAAAGGTGATTTTTCTAGTATTTTAAAGGTGAAAAGTTTATAAAACATGTGTTCTAAAATTGTTTGTTTTCGAGATACAGGGTGTCAAAGTTTTAAAATAATTTAAATATATAGAATAATTTTTTTCATAATATCTTTGGAGTCACCCCAGATATTTTTATGAAATTTGGTACACGCTTTTTTACCAGTAAGGGGCATTTTTTGATGAAAAATGGTTTCTTAAATTTTCACCAATGGTGTTCCTACGGGGTTCGACTGAATATTTTTGAAGAAAATTTTTCTTGAAATAAAAAATCCACTTTAATGCGCATAGAAAAATTGTTAAAATATATATCGTTAACGAATAAAACGTACGAACGGCACTGGTAAAAATTTGAGAAAATATATTTTCTCTTTCTATATAAAATCGGAAAATAACCCTTAATAGTGAATTAATACAGGTCTTGTATAAAATTTCATAAAAAATCTGGATTGGCTCCAAGGATATTACAAAAAAATAATTTTTTTCTTAAAACATTGAAACCCTATATCTCAAAAACGAAGGATTTTAGAACACATGTTTATACAGGGTAAGTCTTAAATAAGTACAAATATGTTTTGGTTTAATATATTATATTTTTTTTCATATATTTGAGGTTTGTAGATCTCGGTAAATGAAATATATTTTCTTTTTAACGTTTTTGGCTTTTTGACTTATAAATCCAAAATAACCGAGTTATTCAAGTTTGAAAATTAAAAAATAGATTAATTTTTGAAACATTTCGAGTCACTGGATTTGTTCTGTATTTGCATTTTTTTTAGTGGCGTAACCATAGAATAAAGCCGTAACCATGGTAATATCAGAGATTAAGAAATTATACCGTGGGATAATTTGCGGTGAACAGACCGTTCTAAATGTTTTCTAAAATATATCGGAACATTTAAAAGAAAATGCACGATTTTCAACATAATATATTGTGAAAAAACCTTATAGATATATTCGTGGGGTCGAAATATACCACCCCTAAAAATATTTGCTCTTATTTAAGTCTCACCCTGTATAAACCTTTTACCTTCCAAATACTTGAAAAATCACCGTGAAAAATATTGGACAATTATTCAAAAACGCTCTTATTATTATTTTAATTTTATCAGTTACTGACACCATAATTACAGTATTTTTCTTATTATTTAGAAACGACACTATTCACCTGGATTTTTCCTGGTGTTTGTTGCCAAACCGGACAACTATGACTGCAGCCAAGAAAGCAACGTCATACCGCTGAGCAGACTCTCATCAATCATGGACAACAACATAACCACCTTGCTGACTTTTTCCATAAAGAACAGCATCAGTTTGTACGAGTACGCTTACGCTTCTATAGGTATAGCTATCGCAGTAGTCATTTTTGGGGTGGTCTCTTTAGCTGTCATTATAGTTTTTAATCGGTATGGAACTATATCCAAAGCCAGGACTTACGGTGAGTAGAATTAAATCAGAGAAATAAAAACATAGTTAAACTTATAAGTTCTAAAACAGTAATAAAACTAAAACAATTTCGGACTTCCATTGTCTTTATTTATTTTGCTTACAAAACGTTTCGGTCAGAGGTATCATTGACCGTTATCATGTGTTAACTAAACCAAATCCTAAGACTACTGAGCTTATATACTGTTTAGCTATTCGCCCGATCTTCTCCGATGTTACTTTCACATATGGAATCGTCAAGAGAGAGAGAGAGAGAAAATAAAGAGGAGTACGAGCCAATTAAATTACTGGGGCTTGACCTCACCAAATTTTTTACCGATTGCAATTCCCCAGCCGTCTGTAACGCCGTTTTTTTTCGTCATAACGAGCCATTGAATAAAAAGAATTAGGAAGCAATATATCAAAAAACTAGCGCGACCGCGATGGTAATTCAATATGGCTGACTTTCCGGTTGAAATTTAGGTTTGTCAGTTGAAGCTTCTTTCTAAAGCTACGCACACAGAAAGAGCAAAACCGTTTTAGACAAAAACGTATTCGTTTTTTTCTAGAGACATTATGTTTTGTAGAAAAACAAAATATTTTTTTACAATTAAACATGCAGGGTAGAGAGCATCCTCCTCAGGCTGGCACACCAATGAGTCAGACTTGTAGAATGTAGAATGTTTAGGAGGGGAGTTAGTCACCGCGACCTTACAGATCTGTTAAATGCACAGAGGCCAGCTCTCCATCATTGACATCAGCCGTACCAAAGTTCATGGCACGAATGGTCGTCGTCTCGGCGCACTCAATGATGAGGTGTTCTGGTGTTTCCCCAAATTCCCCACAGAATCTGCATTCGCCGTTGTTTCTCAGCTTCAGCCTACTGAGGTGTTCGTTGAGGAGACAAGAGTGTCCTGTTAGAAACCCCGTGACAGTCCGAAGATTATTTTAAATCAAGGAAAACCTTTGATTTTTCTCGGTCGTAGGTTCTAAGGAACTTTTTCGAGTGTCTTAGACCGTTGGAGGATACCCATTCCAAGTTGCGGTTGGAGTCTTCCAGATTCTTCAGTTCCGCTTTCAGTTGGTTTCCGCTTGGAAAACAGAACGGTTCTGGTCCAGTTAGTGGAGTGTTCGCTCCTTTTCTAGCTAGATCATTTGCCTTTTCATTGCCGTCTATCCCTTGGTGAGCAGGCACCCAGAGTAGGAGGACTTTATTTTCTTTGCCTAACTTGTTGAGCTTTTCTAGACATTCTTTGACCAACTTCGATGAGTCAGACTTTTGCAATTGGTTATAATATTGTCTAGGGATTTTGCAGAGTAACCATTCTGAAGCAAATCGGTTTTAATATTACTTAGTTCAGAGATTCTTGGACACTGCATATAGTGATTGCTCTATGACATAGTGTTTTAACTATACCTCTTTTGGTTGATTCAAAATGGTTCGACTGAGAATTTAAATATTGTCCCGTATGTGTGGGTTTTCTATATTCAGTAGTGCTAATGGATCCATCGCTTATAATTCGTTGAAACGTTGTGTAAGCAAAATAAATAAAGACAATGGAAACTCTTTTAGTTTTAATACTGAATCATTGTCTACCACATTCAAAGTCTCTAGTCAAATCTGTCCAAAGTGTTTCTATATAGTAAAAGTAGATTATTGGTTAATACTGAAACATCATCACCAAAAACGGGCACCTTCAAATTTTCATGTATTTTAAAGTTTTATATATTGTGTTCTAGTGGACCGATTTTGATGAATTTTTAAGCAACTTGTAGCTAAATTATTTGCCATTTTAATATCTCTTTCTAAATAAAAAATTAAAGTTTCTCTTAATTATACAGAGGAAAACGAAACGTTGATATTTTGGTAAAACTTTGAAACACCCTGTGGAGTATGATAACAAAGCAAGAAATTTATAAATAACTTTGTCATCTAGGTGTATATTTTCTCGCTAGTTTCTTTTTTGGTTCATCTAAATAGCTTTATTTTTTTGGGAGATATTCGCTTTTGAAGAAGACACTAACATTTTTTTGATTTTTGGTCCTAGTCAACAGACCTATAAAATAGTGTTTTTGATTTATGTAATGCCACTATCTTTGAAAAATTATATTATTTATTATTGTCTGTTGGGTAGATATGGCTTTAAGTCCTAAAGTTGATATCTACCATGATCAATTAGGAATCTTCAGAACTTAAAACCATCTCTACTACTTAGAGTAACCGCCAATAAATAATAATAATATAACTTTTCAATGACAGTGACATTCCAAAAACAATAAACACTATTTTAAAAGTGTGTTGACTAAAACAATAAACACTATTTTAAAAGTTGTGAGGATCCAAGATAAATGCTAAAATTGCTGTAAATCGTTACTGTCTTATTCAAAGCGAATATCTCGAATAAAAATGAAGCTACTGAGATGAATCAAAAACCAAACTATCGGGAAAAGACGTACCTAGACTATAAAATTATATTTAAATTCCTTGCTTTGTTAACATTAACATATTCGACAAGGTGTTTTAATCTTTCCCCAAAATATCAACATTTTGTTTTCCTCCGTATAATTGACAGATGAAAACTTTCATTTTTAATTTAGAAAGAGACACTAAGAAGTCAAATAATTTAGCTACAAATTGCTTAAAAAATCATCAAAATCGGCTCACTAGAACAAAATATATTACACTTTAAATTACATCAATATTTTAAGGTGCCCGTTTTTCGTGCCGGTGCCGGTGAGTGTAGATATTTAAATTGTTAGTTAAAACTTAACTGGGTTATTTTGGACTTATTTGAAAAACGGTAAAGAGTAAATAGGTTTCTTTTATCAATATGATCGATATCTACCAGCCCTGAAAATATTTACACTTACTGAAGGCTCACCCTGTATAACCAACCAACACCTAATATTTTTTTAATAAGACAGCAATAATGATGATTTAGATATAAAGATACAAGATTATATCGAGCCGAAGACCGATGAGGAGATCAATCGAATTATACTGTCAAAAGACCTGACAGTAGATGTGTTTGCCAAATATCCCAGAAGAATTAAACAAAGATCTTTCAATTATTTGTCGCATACGACGAGCATAGCACTGTTTTACAGTATACCTGTTATTCAGTTGGTCGTCACGTATCAAAGGGTAAGTTATACTTCTATAGAAACCACAGCTTATTCAGAACCAGTTGGTCGTCTTAGCTTGTTTTTGAGTACACGCGTTGCATCACCTACCGTTATTTTAAGGAATATCTAGGTAGGTTTGTCATTTTTATGCAAATCATCGTCAGTAGGCAAGCTAGTTATAAATAGGCTGTGACAAAAACTAAACAAACAGATATTTAGGACATTTCTTTGTTAATTTTTAGGTGGTTAACATGACAGGAGACCAAGATTTGTGCTATTACAACTTCTTATGTGCACATCCAGCGTTATCTTTTAGTGACTTCAATCATATCTACTCCAATATTGGTTACATATTAATAGGGATATTTTTTATTTTTGCTGTAATCGACAGACAACATATCATAAAGATTACCAAGGTAATAATAATTTAACATAGTCTCCTACATTGGATGGGTAGCATAATAACTAACGAAAAAATATAAACTTTAGGAGAATGGTATACCAGTTCATTATGGGTTGTTTTATGCAATGGGTGTTGCTCTAATTATAGAAGGCATCCTGTCGGCTTGTTATCATATTTGTCCAAGTCAATCGAATTATCAGTTTGGTAAGTTTAAAGCTCTGTCTTTTAAACACCCTGTATAGTTATACTACACACTGTTATATTGTATTTTCCAAGAATTAATAAACATAATTATTTGTTTGATACATTAAATTCCAGTGCTACTTTATTTTTCGTTTAAATATTGTAAAGATCAAATTTAAAGATATCACTACGCATACTGTGACGTTGTTTTTTATTCGATCAATGCTATTTCTTATTTGTTTTTTAGATACAAGTTTCATGTACGTTATGTCTGTATTAATAATGGTAAAATTATACCAAAACCGTCATCCAGATATTAATGCTACAGCATACACAACTTTTAGTGTGGTTGGTATTGCTATTTTTATAGGTAAAATTTATCTTTACTAAACCAAAACCTTAAATAATTGGAATTATGTTCTTTTTTAGCCATGATAGGTATACTAGATGGTACACTTTTTATATGGGTCTTGTTCATAGTATCTTATTCCATTTTAATAATATTATTATCATTAAAAATATACTACGTGAATTATGTAGTGAGTGGTGCCAAACAATTTTATATTTTTTATAAAAATCAAGGATTATGCATTGAAACGGTCTCGCCCCTAAGAAAAGGTAAGTTTTTTGTCTGTTTTATGTTAGGTATCTCTTGTTGATTTTACAACTGATGGCTTTATGTAAAATGTATAAATCTGGGAAGACATTGTGTCTTGACTTGTGTTACAGTGAAATTATTGTGAATCTTAGCACAGACGCACACAGAAAGGGTAAAAGGGTACTGCTTCTTTATTCTTTATATTCGATGTCTCAAGCCGACATAAAGTATCATCGATTGTCAAAGGGTACTATGACGCATTTTTTTCGATCATACAATACATTTTTATTTATATCATACGATCGAAAAAAACGGCGTCACAGACGGCTGAGGAATGTCAATCAATTATAATTTTGGTGAGGTCAAGCTTCGGCGTTATTTACTTGGCCTGTACTCTTCTTCATTTTTAATGGCGTTGACTTAAATTATTTTTATATTGAGTAAAAATTATTTTTAAATGGTTTAGTTTAAAATTCGGTAAAAATATTTTTTTGAAATAGATTTGTGTGTCTGGAAACGTTCTATTCTTTTTCTATCTTTCTATAACCAGTGTTTATGTCAATTTTTAGTAAATGACGTCTAGATATTGACCTCGCCAGAATTATCAACGCTTGTCATTCCTAGCCGTCTTTGACGCCGTTTTTTTTTCGATCATACAGTTATAATAGGTATTAAATTAAGGTATTAATAATTATTGCAGGTCGTTTTGTGGCAGTTCTTGTAACAAACGTTGCCAATTTTAGTATGCTTGGCATCGGACTTTACATCTACTTGAACAATATAACAGATTTTGGAACGTTTCTTTTGGCTCTTCTTCTAGGAAATACAGTAATTCATATATCGTTTTACACAATTATGAAGGTATTTATTGTTTTATATACTGAGTGACAAAAAAAAGAGAACACCTATACAATGTGTGTTAGAATTCGATAATTTTTTGCTGACTGTCTTTTCTTGTGTGTCAGAAATCGGGGGTCAGCAACACGCTATTTTTTCAATTAAGTGTTCTGCTAGAGAACCTAATCGATTGCTAAGTCAAAAGCTGCCATTATGTACACCAAGAATTATTAAAATCTTATGAAGACATACATATATACCATCCTGGCAAGCGAAACCTTGGGTCGGCGTTTACATGTATAGGAGTGAATCGCTATGGCAATCTAGTAAGTCGGAGAAAGCAAAAATGCGAAGTATTTTGTAGCATTAGAAGTTATAAAAAAATGATGGAATGTTTTTTTTATAAGAATTTTCTTTTAGAAAAAATATTAAAACAACTAATACTATGCGACGGAGCTGTTCGCCGGTGAGCAATAGGTCGTAAGCTAGTGAAAATTAAATTGTGATAATTACGTCTTTATAATATACTGGTCGCCACTCAGTTTTCCATTTACTTTCAAAACTTCTAAGTTGAGAACTGAGAAATCAACTCAAAACCGACATTTACTTTTTTAGCGAATTACACAAATAAAAATTTGAATAAAAACTAACAACTAAGTAATAATTAAATATTAATTAGAATAAAATAAGACTATGAATAATTTGATGTTTGAAAATGTTGGCGTGGTAAATAGTATGTATTAAAATAGATCATCTAAGATGGTAGTTAAATCTGCACGCTTCTGAATATTAATATTTTATTAATTATTCCGCAAAAGTCTGGCGATCTTGGTACCAAAATATAGGGACTCTTTATATTTAAAAAACCGTACTATGTATATATCAGAAATATGCATAACATGAATAAAATATTTCAAAGTGACTCTAAAGTAATAAAATATCTAATATGCCTGAAGGGCTTGAAGCATTAAAGTGAAGTTAAATTATATAAAAGAAATGATCTGGCCTTTTAAATCCGTTCAAATTTCACATGTGTGTGGTGAACTGCTAGAACTGGAAAGTGATTAAAACGTCGCTCCACCCAGACAGGATCCAAAATGCTGTATATTCAGGAGATTCCTCCGTTATTCAACGTTCCCTTTATATAAGAGGGACAAACGAAGGCCCATAATGTCAGATATGTATTCAATGCAAATGGCACCAGAAATGCGTACCATAAAATAAAAACCCTGTACAAATAGAAAAAAGGTATTAGGAAACGTTATGTAAAAAATAAAGGTCTTACCTCCGCTCAGAGGGTTTTCCCACACAAATTTCAAAAATGCCAAAAAAAACGCCGATAATTCTATCGGGTTCAGCTTCAACCACCAATATAGCGATAAAGGTAGGCACGAGGTATATACCTATACCGTCAGAAATAAAGTGACCAACAACTTCGACCGGACTGAAATAACTAGCCAGAAATAAACTTGTAAAAAAAATAAAAAGATAAAACAATACTTATAATGCCATCTCGGTGCGAGGACTTAAACTTGAATTGTTTAAATAAAATAATTCTGTACATTTATTTAAATTGTGTAAATTTTAAATAAAATGCTACAATTTATTTGAAATTTTGTGGATTTTGCAGTCTTTACGGAGCTTATTTTATTTTATTTATTATTTATTCTACTACTGATATATTGTATAAAGGTAGTTTTATATGGAAATTGTAAATAGATTTTTAAAGGTCCACATTTGACACTATCGCGATTTATCGAAAAAGACTCTAAAATAATTTGTTGTGAGCGTGCGTATTTTAGGCAAAATTTGAGTAAAATAATGGAATCGATTTTTCGCTTAAAAACTGAACAGATAATATACAAACGTGTAGTCAAACCGATCATTTATGAAATTCACTTAAATTAACTAAATTATATATTTTTTCTTTGCATTTTAGCTATTTTATTTATTACTGACTTACCTGCTTCAGTAGCGTATCGGATGTTTGTGTTAATAAATACTTATTATAATATCAAATTTTTATTAGAATTATATATTTTTATAACAATTTTAATAACTACCAACATTTATTCACAACGTAAAATAAAACAACAAATTATTGAGCCTACCCCTGTTCGGTTTTAATATAAAAATCGATTAATTTTTACCTAAAATTAGAAATTGTTCTGATAAACATGTGAATTTACCAAATATAGACCTTTAAAAGTCTATACGACTTCGCTATAAAATCCATAGATTTTGATATATCTGACAGTTCAAATTTTGCTTATTATTTCCTATGTTCCCAACGACGATGCAACACCCGGTATACTTAATCCGATTACCGCTAGATTTCATGCGCTTGGGAGTATACTTGCTCTTCTGGTTTTATTCAGAACATCTTATTTTACCGTACTCTTCGTACACACTAAAATCGGCACCCAAGGCCAGAAATGCCGACCCTAGTATAGGCATTCTTCTTTTTATGTCATTTAGTATATATTGTAATTGTTTTTTTTTAATTCTTTTTGATGGTTTATAGCTAATACACAAAGAGAGAATATGCTACGAGTCTTTGATTTTCGGAGTTGTGGGAATGGCTTTCTGGATAACTGCTGGAATATTCTTCCTAGATGCTGCCACCTTATGGACGGTAAATTGCCTTTCATTAGAGAATTATGCATTAATGCAAGACCAAGACCAAGACTTCCTTGGTTTTAGTCTTGGTATTTCAGTGTAATAATTAGTCTTGGTTTTAGTATTGCTGCAAGGCACTTTCTACATAGATGATCTTTATAAATATCTAGTATTTTAAGTAATTTAATGCAATAAAACTTTAAAGAGAGAAAGAATATTAATTTGTCTAATAAAATTTTTTTAATTTCAATACATATATCGAATCAGCTTTACTTGCAATAGTCAGGAAACACTATTTGCAATAAATTAAAACAATAATTTTGAACGATCTTTTTTTATTATTTTTTATTTAGTAAATTATAGAGGGGAGGGGTAAGTAAATAATAATTTCGTTATTTTTTGTTTTCTATGTGAATTAAAACCGTGAAAAAAATGTAAGAACTCAAGAGTCTTTTATGCTGGGTCTTGGTTTTATTCTTTGTCTTGTACAAAAAGCAAGATCAAGTCCAAGACCTGTCTCCTTCATGACAAATTATGCAAATCAACAAAATATAAAACACTTTTTTAATTTCTTCTTATGTAATGTCTCATAGAAATAAGTAAACATAAAGATTCTACAACTGAATTATCTGAGTGTAATGTAGACATTTTGTGACTTTCATTAAATTTTGATTTTTGTTGTTTGTAGGTGACTCCAGCTGAATCGCGGCAGTGGAACCAGGGTTGTATCTTCCTGAATTTCTTCGACAAACACGACGTGTGGCATTTACTGAGCGCACCGGCCCTGTTTTTCACCTTTCTGTATTTGATGTATCTGGACGATGACATATCTGACAAGCCACAAAAGAAAATATCAGTATTCTAAATAATAATAATAAGCGTTTTGAACAAGTTTTTTTAATCTATGAAATAATTTTAAGTACTTTTTACTTTCTCCGTATATTTTATATTTATGTGACTTTGTTGTAAAGTAATTGACTGTTTATTATTGATTTTAGAAGTATTTCTATTTGTATTTCTAAGTGTAACAAACCATAAATATAAGTTGTGATCTCAAAAACAAATTTTCTGTGCATGAAACCAATTTTACTATAGTTTGTCCAGCAAGAGGATACATGATAGTGACAGTTGTCTCTATCATATTAATGCACACATCAATTATATTTTCTGTCAATTTTTGGATGTCGTCTGACAAAATCTATAATTAATATCATAATATAATAATTTTGTAATATGTGAGAAGAAGTATATAGTGTGATCAAACAAAAAAGATATCAGAAGAGTCGTAAAAGTACTATTTTAGTACTTCTAGACAGATTTTACTACATATGTCTTTTTTTATCACACTATCATCGTCAGCAGTCAGCAAATATAATTATAAACAGATTTTTATGTAAATATACATTTAAAATAGGTATATATGACTTTTTCAATATGTATTTTATAAATGTTTTCTAAATAAACTTATTCCTAATTATATAAGTTTTATTTTTTATTCAGGATGTCTTTTTACTAAGTGCAAGTTGTTTAACTTGTAATAGACCGTATGATAAAAAAAAAACGGCGTCAAGTTGGCATGAAAATGACGATCGATGACATTCCCCATATAATTTTGCATATAAAATGACAGCGATCTTCATTTTATAGCCATCGCTGATGCCATTTTTTTTTCATCACATTGTATATCGTCCGGAGATGAAGCTTTTTTGGCAAAAAAATTAAAAATTTTACTTTTATTCTGGTCTTTTCGTGGAAATTAAAAAAATGCCGTATATGCTAACTAACTACTACATATATCTGGTATAGATTTGTCACCCGTTAATATACTATATTTTTTTCGATCGTACAATCGTACAGTTTTTTTTTTTAAATCTTAAGCCTATGCACAAAAATATAATACTAAATTGACATTAAGTGCCCAATTAGTAAGGTGCTACTTTTATATTATTTGCAACGTTTAAAATTGTGTAAAAAATTATTTGTGACGTTTGAAAAAAATAGAATGTTTTATATTCAGAGTAAAAATATACTTTTTGTGCCTCGCCTGTAATGTCTACGTCCTCGCCACAAAAAGTATCATTTTTACTCCTAATAAAGCAATCTTTGAATAAGAAGACTAAGGAAGGAGCATATCAAAAATCTTAGGTACACCGCGATGGGCCTCAAATATGGCCGACTTAAATTCCAGTTTATCAGTATCGTTCTAATTTTATTTAAAAAATGTAAAACTATGATGTAGGGTAGACGTGGGGTAGACTCAATAATTTGTTGTTTTATATTACGTTGTGAATAAATGTTGGTAGTTATTAAAATTGTTATAAAAATATATAATTCTAATAAAAATAGATAAGTTATAATAAGTATTCATTAACACAAACATCCAATAGTCTACTGAAGCAGGTAAGTCAAATTAACGTATCTAAATTCTTTGACATCTAATCTTTGACAAGTAATAAATAAAAGCTAAAATGCAAGAAAAATATATAATTTAGTTAATTTAAGTGAATTTCATAAATGATCGGTTTACTACACGTATGTATATTATATAGTCACTTACTAGCGAAAAGTTGTTCCATTATTTCACTCAATTTTTTGCCGAGATCTACCGCACGCTACACAACCAACTATTTTAGAGTCTTTTTCGATAAATCGCGATAGTGTCACTGTTAATTTAAGTTCTGCCACAATTTCCATCTAGATTTACTACCTTTATACAACTATCAGTAGTAGAATAAATAATAAATAACATAAAATAAGCTCCGTAAAGACTGACAAATCCACAAAATTTCAAATCAAATTCAAATGTGTCAAATGAATCGTCAAACAGAACTGTCAAGTATCCCCACCCTAGAGAGCTTTTATGGTGGCTTTTCCGCCCACCATGCATGAATACATGGATAGCATTATGCTCCTTCCTTAGTCTTCTTATTCAAAGAAAGCAATATACTATCATTAAAAAACGCAAAGTTTTTTTTAATATGTCTAATAAAAAAAACGACTTATATGCCTTTCAATACACAATTTTTATTAAGCGTTCAGTTAAAAGGGAGTTTAACAAATTTTTGCCGTTGCCAAATACCGTGAGTTTCAAAACTTATACCGTGAAAGTTACTTGCGACCTTCACGGTACATTTTCTGAGTCTCCTCTGATCCTACCATGGCGTTGGTGACCTCGGAGTTTCTCTTGCCATTCTGAACGGGTAGACGGTATGGTATGATGGGTACGTCCAATGGTGGTATGAATTCCTTGGGTTTGAGTTGGTAAGCTAGCCAGCTGGCTAGTTGGTGGGCGCCCGGACTAGCGTACTAGGAACAAATTTGTTAATAGACTGGGGACTAGCTAACATATAAATTGAATTTTTTAAATAATTTTGCACCTTACTGTGATGCTTAATTATGACGAGTCGGTTACTTCTTTCCTCTGTATAATTTCAATAATTCTACTCTGTTGAATAATATCTACCGGGTGGTGCAAATTTTTAACTGTTCAAATATTGCCTCCCCTAATTGATTTTACGGTGAGGTCGTAAAAGGTTTTTTTAAAGGTATGCGTATGCTGAATGCACATGCCAACTTTGTACAATTTTGTACAAGCCAGTTTTAAATAATTTAAGAAAAAATGCAGCTCTTTTAAAATTAAAACTGAACAGGTGTCAATGCAAAACCGGGCAAATGCCAATATACCTTAAGTTGTCAACATATGATTTTGTAAATGTCAAGCTGTAGTTTCTAAACGTTACTCTTTTGTCTGTTTTTAACAAGTTTTAAGTTACAAAAATGTACCGTATGATCGAAAAAAAAAACGGCGTCCAGTTGGCTGGGAAATGACGATCGTTGACATTTCCCATAAAAATTTACATATAGAATGACAGCGATCTTCATTTCATAGCCAACGCTGACGCCGTTTTTTCTCGATCATACTTTGACTATATAGGTACTATAACCTGTGCTATATCGTAGTAGCGTGAACAGCACAACAAATTGACAAAATCATAGGTTGCTGACTTAAGGCACGTTGACATTTTTCTAGTTTAGTATTTTTACGGTAAAAAATTCATATAAACCTGTTTCCTAAAATGCTTCGTTTTTGAGATTCAGAGTGCCAAAGTTTTGAGAAAAAAAATCGTTTTTTTTTTATAAAATCTTCAGAGCCAATCCAAATTTCTTTATGAAATTTGATACACCCTTTTCATTATTAAGGGACATTTTTGAAAATGCTAGAGAAATAAAAGGATGAGACGATTACAGTTGGTGGTTGGAACATTCTTAATCTAAGGTTGGAACTATGTTGGAACCTTCGGTGTTACAATAGCAAAATATCACACTAAATTACCACAATACACCAAAACACATTTACTTTTGCACTGGACGCACCTTTCGCTAACAATCTTAGCATCATCAGTAGATGATAAAAACTCAAAATCATTTTAAATCATCTCCTGATGATGCAGCAATTGGTTAGCGAAACGCGCGTCCAGTGCAAAAGTAAAAGTATTTTTGTGTATTGTGATGATTTGGTGATTTATTTTGCTGAGAGAGACTAATAATTTAAATCTAAAAGTCAAATAATTCAGCTACAAATTGCTTAACATATCATCAAAATCGGCCCACTAGAACAAGATATATTGAAATTTAAAATATTATACGGGATCAGTCTTAAATAAGTGAAAATATTTTCAGGGCTGGTAGATCTATATAAAAGAAATATACAGGGTGGCCCATCGAAAACGTTCCGCAAGGCATAACGGCCAGGGCAATTTTTTTTTCAGAAAATTCAAAAACACGTCAATTTTGTTTGTGAGGGGGACAACTTTTGCTCCAAAAATGATTGCAAAATCTTCAACCCTCTAAGCGGGGGCGTCATCCCCCAATTTTTTTCAAATGGAAAGGGGGGTCAAGTGGTACCGCAATGAAAAGGGCTTTCTATTCTCTATACTTTCCCGCTTCGTTTTTGAAAATCGGTCGAGTCATTGAGAAAATATGAAGGATTGAAATTTGAAAAGTTTATTTAAACATTTATCGAGTAAATGATAAGGATAAATCCCTTCAACCAATTTGCTATTTTTTTCTTATTATTTCTAGATGTTTACGCATTTTTTCACTTGCCACAAGGTTGAACGATCAGGTGGGGTAGTTGCTAAATAGCTGTTCTGTGACTTGTGCGTTGAAGTTCTTCTCAATATCGTTAAACTTTTTAACAATTATGGTGTACTCACTTGCAGAAAAAGTGGAAATAATCGAACTAAATTTTAAAAACAATGAATGTGGTAATCGGGTTGCGCAGATATTCAATCAACACCATCCTGACAAACAGGTTTATGGCAAAATTGTGCGCGAGTTAGTAGCAAAAAACTGGTTTCGTTATGAATAAAAAGAGGCAGAGGGAAAATCCTGTAGTAAATGAAGCTATGGAGGTATTCATATTGGGCCAAGTTGTCATGGATAGTACGCTGAGTACAAGAAAATTAGTCAATGAGACCGGCGTGAATCGTACAAGTGTCCAAAGGATATTAAAAAACCACAACTTCCATCCGTACAAAATTCAGTTGGTACAAGAACTCAACGAAAACGATTTTGATCGTCGCTTGCAATTTTGTGAAACTATGAGTGAACGAGTGGCCAATGATAATAATTTCCTATTTAATGTGTGTTTTTCGGATGAGTTTACTTTCTTTTTGAACGGTGTAGTTAATCGGCACAACTGTCGGTACTGGGCTGAGGACAACCCCAGGGTTTTTCACGAGGTGCAAACACAAAACCCTCAGAAATTGAACATGTGGGTTGGTATTTCTGGAAATTCTATTGTGGGTCCTTTTGTTCTTCCTGGAAATCCAACAGATGATATGTACTTGGATTTACTGGAAAATGCCATCGACCCAGCCCTAACTGACATCATAGAGAACAATCCTGGATACGTTGAAGCGGAACTAATATTTCAACAAGACGGTGCACCTCCACATTGCTCTCAAAATGTGCGTAATTTTTGAACAATAACTTTCCCGGTCGGTGGATAGGACGAAGGGGTGCAATTGAGTAGCCTCCCCGGTCACCCGACTTGACTCCTTTAGACTTTTTTCTATGAGGAGACATAAAAAGTAAAGTATATAGCACTCCACCCGCCTCATTAGAAGACCTGCGAAGACGAATTATTGATGTTTGTCGCGAAGTGACCCCGCAAGTTCTTCAGAATGTTCGAGAACGGTTTGAAAATAATTGTATTACTGTATGGAGGTTGACGGGCAACATTTTCAGCATTTGCTTCATTAATAAGTTAAGTTTTTTTTAGTTAATTCAATTTATGCGGTTTTTTTTTGCAAAAAGTACTTTTCAAATTTCAATCCTTCATATTTTCAAAATGACTCGACCCATTTTTAAAAACGAAGCGGGGAAATATAGAGAATAGAAAGCCCTTTTCATTGCGGCGCCACTTGACCCCCCTTCCCATTTGAAAAAAATTGGGGGATGACACCCCCGCTTAGAGGGTTGAAGATTTTGCAATCATTTTTGGGTCAAAAGTTGTCCCCTTCACAAACAAAATTGACGTGTTTTTGGATTTTTTGAAAAAAAAAATACCCTGGCTGTTATGCCTTGCGGAACGTTTTCGATGGGCCACCCTGTATATTCTCTTTACCGTTTTTCAAATAACTCCAAGATAACCGAGTTATTCAAGTTTGAAAATTTAAAAAATAATTATTTATTTTTAAAAAATTTGAGAGCTACCTACCGGATTTTTTCTGTATTGCTTTTAGTGCAGTAACAATAAATTACACGATTTTTAACATCTTTTTTTTGCGAAAAAAAAAACTCACAGACGTGCCTGGGTTCAAAATATACCACCCCTAAAGATATTAGCAATTATTTAACATTCACCCTGTATAAAAAAAATGTAATCTATATTTCTTATATAAAACTTTTTGATCATAATTAATTTAATTAAAACAAGAGATATCTTTCACCTTTCACTTACCTCTCTATCAATAAACTTATAGTCTTCATTTGTTGGATAAGCCTGGATATGGGTAGATATCATAGTAATCAAGCATGATAACAAAAACATGTTTTTTAACATGCTTCTTCTGTAATATAAAAATAAAAAGGATTTGATATACAAAATACCATGTGAATGTAGGACAAATGATATATAGGCGGAACATCTAGACCGCTTAATATTTGAATTAAAGAACATTAAGATTATCTATAAAAGGTCGATTTTCGCAAATTTAAGATTTGTCCGCATTCATGGGACACAGGACACAGAGTAAATTTTAGCAAGGCTAAAATGACGATAAAACAACCGGTAGCCTCTAAAGGAAAAATAAAAGAAGTTTTTTTTAATCCAATTTAATATAAATAAATTTAATAAATGTATTGCTCAGGTATCTGTAGAGGTTAGTAATTAAATAGAATTAAAAATTAAAAACAAAAAAATGAAAGAATTAAAAAAAATAAAAATAACTATATTGTTCGATTTAAAATAACCAATTGGCTAGACACTTCCGGTTATGCCTGTTTAGCCGGTGTTAGAAAATGGAAAATATTTTTGAAATTATAAAGAACGAACATCGCCTAGTCATGGTAATAACTGTGGTAATAACCTTAAGTTAAAACATTCAAATGTTTGTCTAAATTAAGAGGAAAAAACTATATTGATAATAATTTTCAAATACATTAATAAACAAATTTACTGACATTTATAGAGACCATTTTATATACAAAAAAAATTTTAATATAATTTTAAAGAAACAACTTACTTACTTCTAGCACACGCAATAAAATACGCTATAGATATTTTTAGCGAAAAATCTCGAAAATGAATACTTCAATAGAGCTAAAGATTTCTCTTAAATACCTAAGACGGATCTGCTTTTTTTCTAAATATAAAACTGCTGTTTTGGACAGTTCTTATTTCCAAGATTTTCCATTATAAGCAGGTCTCTGTCTGGAACATTCTTCTAATCAACCTCAATTTTATTGCTAAATTTACCAAAAGGTTTGGTTTTGTCATAATTTCAATTTATAAACGTCATTTGTATTTTTAGAAATGCATATTTACGTATTAATTTATTAAAATTTGATTTTTTTCTCAATTTGTAAGTATTTGTGTATTATTGGAAATATACGAAAAATTACATAAATAATATGTCGATTATTATTTAAAAATGTTTAAGAAACTTTTAGATATATAAAACAACCCCAAAGTTCCCAACTGGCAAAGGAGTAGGACAGGATGTCGCGATATCCTCAAAGCTGTTTACAGCAACATTAAAAGAAATCTTCCGTCAACTGGACCAACAAAGTAAAAATAGATGGAGAATATTTTAACCATCTAAGATTCGCTGTGATAGTCCTAATTGCCAATAGTCCTGAAGAACTCAGCTCGGGATCTCTACTACCAGAAATCAACAGAAGAATTGTTATATAGCATGGAGTACTTATGGAAGAAACCAATGACGTAGAAACAAGTTTCAGTAATAGAATAGAGTGGATACGACAAAAGATCGAGGTAATAGATGACCTCAGCAGAATCAAATCCCTCAAATGGCAATGGGCACAGGGCAGGACACCTGCAAGAAGGATGCTGGACTACAAAAATTACAGCATGGTACCCATGAGGAAATAAGAGACCTAGAAGACCAACCCTAAAATATATACAGATTAATTTGACGTGTTTCAGTCAAGACAATATTAGCGCATTTCTCGTTCTTTTTACTTTTTATTGATTTTTTTCTCTACTTTCGATTTTTTGAAATTAGAAAAAAATACACGGCTAAAGGCAAGAAAATATTATTTATTAATATACACTAAAGCTGTAAGAATTTTGTTCATTTCATATACATGGTGAGTCTTAAATAAGTGCAAATATTTTCAGGGCTGATAAATCTCGATAAAAGAAACATATTTTCTCTTTACCATTTTTCAGATAAGTCGTCCAAAATAACCGAGTTATTTAAGGGTCCGTTACAGTAGCCCCTCCCGGTTCTCCAAACTCTTTAATATTTTAGCACTGTATTGCACCCACCTAGCACTACCTAGCACCATATTTACAGAGCTAGCACCACAACCCCTAGCGAGTTACAGGACATTTTTACCGGGAGGGGATAATGTAACGCTAGCCCTCCCCCCTTATATATATTTCCCTTAAAACTTTAGCACTGTATTGCACCCACCTAGCACTATCTAGCACCTAACTTACAGAGCTAGCACCACACCCCCAGAAGAGTTATAGGTGGTTATAGCCAATGCACCATCTAAAAATTTTTAATTAGAATATTTTTAGACGGTGGCCATAGTTAAGTCTGTGGTTATAGCATATTTTCACCTTGCGCACAGTGTGGCGGACGGTAATTCTAGCGGGACAAAACCGTTTTGTTAGAAATAAGCCAAAAAATGTGTACTGATGAATTAATTGTATGCATTCCAATAGATATAAAAATGCATCAATTATTTTTTGGTTATATATATTCTTTGTATGTATTTCGATAAATTTTTCTCAACTAAAGGTCGTTTTCTGCTCAGCAAGGCAGAAGTTATACGAAAACAAAATATTTACAAGTGCTTATACATTCTATTCCAAAACCAAATTATGTTATTTACTTTTATACTACACGTATATTATTCGTTAAGATATTTCGTGCTTTTGTTCTGCAGATATCAAACTTTCACTTTTTTTTATCAAATATCGATATATTGAATGATGTAGATCTTTTGAGTTACCAATAGTTACCAAAAAGTAGTAAGCAATTTTGATGCTAGAATATTTGTAGTTTCCATGCCCATATGTATTTGTACCGGGCGTTGCCAAATTGTTGAAAAAAAAAACATAATTTTTAGGGGTCTCACACCGATTCACCGGTTAGGTTAGGTTGAAGTCAGCTGCCAAGAATTTTTTGAAGCACTCAAGAAGTTTCAGAGTTTTCAACAATTATTACAGCAGCATCCCTACTCCCACTAGACCTAAAGCTCACAGTACTTGCAAAACCCAATCTTCTTTTGAAAGGTCTTCTATTAACCCTTTAACGAGTCTTTGTTTCGTGTTTGTACTAGCTGATTGAAATTAAACTTTTAAGCGTCCACCCACGGGGGTGTCACTTGTATGGGAAAACAGGCAACAGTCAAATTTAAACGTGCCAGGACCAACGACAAAGAAAGCAACATCTGCCAGGCATTGGCTTTCTTTGTCACTCACATTGCTTAAATCATGATACCGCGGCCATTTTGCCAACAAAGAAGCTGGCCGGGCTGTCCTGGCAAGTGATTTAAAACAATTTTGCTTTTTTACAATATTAAATTATTAATTTGGATGTATTTAATGCGATTATTCAGTTAACTGGTAAGTCGGAAATTACACACAAATACTTTATTCGTAAATACAACTAAGATGTAAACGTATTTTTGTATTTTTAGGTTTCAACTTTTGCGAAGACCCGCCGATAGAACTTGCCTGGCAGCGTACCTGTTTAACTAAACGTATTATTTCCTGATAATAATATCAAAACACGTAAGTACCTCTATAATTTATGATGAAAAATGATTTGGATTATGTTTTATATTATTTAAATACTTTCTAACCTCAAATAATAGTAAGAGGATACATTAAAATACGCAACCAACCGTCCAATCAGATGAAAGAGGTACGTACCCTATCGTTGGGTATTGTGCAATCACGTGATGCTCATGTCGTATGACGGTTAAATCTTTGGTTAGATTTTTTGTTGTTGTTTTTACCTGTTTTAACAGTTTTTACTTTATTTTTCTATTTACATCAGATTTATATTTTGTAATTGCCTATCAGACAATACGTATTTAGAAAAATAATAAGAATTAGGATCGTGTTTTTTTTTAAATCCTGTATATTAATTGGAACCCTTGATAACATTACTGCTTTTGATATAAAAAGTGCATTTTTGATTATTTACTTGGGCTAGGATATTAAAATATCGGTTGGATTGTACGACATAAATAGATGTAGGTATGATTATTTATATATATGTATGTATTTATAAAGCTTACTATCTGATTTGCATTTTCAGTTTTTGATCAGATATTTCATTTTATTTGTGAAATGCCCACAAAAAAGCTTCCCATGATTCAACATCAGTGTGTTTGCTGCATAATGGATCATTCCTGCTGAATTTTTAGATCATTTGAAGACTACACGGAAAAAACCAGATAATATGTTACATTTTCATAGAAATTGATAGCGAGACAATTTTATAGGCAAGTGTGTATTTTGCCCTACAGGAGAAAAACCAGAGTAGTTCACTCGTAGTTGCATTTTCTCGGCTCCAGTTAAAGTGAAAGCTGGTTTTTCCTGTGGTCTTCATTTGAAATAACGTAAATAAATGTTTATACATATGTATGTGATGATTAAATTGGTGTTAAGGAAATAAAAATGTTTTTCGATATTAATATATACCTATATATGTATATTTATTTTGAAATAAATTACACTTTTAACAGTTTAATGGAGTTTTTAAAGCCAGTTATAATATTTATATTTTAAAAACTTGAAATCATGTGGATGTAATCACGCATTAAACCACAGACTAACTTATATAAGTCAAAAAGTAGATTTTAGTGTTAACTTTATATAACTTGTAAGTAAAATAATAAATAAAACAAATATGAAAAAACCAACAATTCTAATGTATATATTAAAATACAGTACAATAATAGGTATCTGATACCCTCACTTAACGTAGAATAATATTCTACCCAACTCAATACTATGTCCAACATGAGTTTCAAATATATCGGGCCCTAATCGTTCCTGAAAATAATATTTTTTTACATTGTTATACCATATTCTAAACTATTTAATATTTCAGTCACTTAAAAAGTTAATTTGTATTGAATAATTGTCTACCATTAAAGCAAATTTGGACTAGTATTTTTAATGGGCATATTCTGTGTATGGATATAGGTACTTCCTCCAGATTTTGGGTTCAACCAATTTATTCTTAAAACCTGAAACATCTACGTATAAAAAATAGACAGGTTACTAATTATAATAAAATTTACCCTTAGAATTATACTTCTTTAACAAATAATTCCATTGGTATACTTTTCCATGACAAATGATCAACTTCCTAAAATTTTCAATTGATGTAATACTTCCTCATGATGCGAAAAGAAAATCTTTTCGTTAGCACACAATGGACAAACGATATGTTGGCTTACTTTCAGATTAGTTACTTTTCCATAGATATCCTCATGTCAATTCAAAGACGATGAACATGATGATCATCACATGAAACATCACAAACTAAAAACCTAATAAACAAGTTTATATCGAATATAGAAATAAATTTAGTGTTCTTACCTATTGTCGTCCAAATCCACGTTAATAGATAATTAATTTTTTGGAATTTTATCTTTTATTTTTAAATATATCTTTCGAACTACTGGTTTTAGTAATTATTAAATTAAACGAACTAAAAAGTCAAAAATAATAAACAATTCTCTTGTCAATTGTCAATTTTCTTCAGGCACCGAACATTATCGATAACGCACGATCTACGACGATTACTCCTTTGATCTGATTGGACGGTTCAATGACGGTTGGTTGCGTATTTTAATGTATCCTAATAGTAAGATCCTTGTTTATATCGCACAACCCGTTCAAAACTGTATTGTCTTCAAAAAATGTTTACAAAACAAACAATTATTAAAAAAACAATGTCCTTTTAATCTGATTTATACCTCAGAAGGATGCCAGTAAAATTTTATTAAATCAACATTATATTATTTGGCCGTTAATATGCAAAAAGGAGCATATTGCCTTAACTTAAATTTTCTTTTACTTCTCCTGACAATGTTCTCTATATTCTCTATTTTGAGTTAGTAAACTTTTGAACGGGATGTGCGATATATAAAATTTTTTGGTTGTTTATGCACGTTGGCTTGGTTTATGTTTTATTCAGCTTATATTTATTTGGTATAACAGTTTTTTTTGCCTTTGGAATGGCATGCATTGAGGCTAGATAGTGTTTCATTAGATCATTAAAGGAATTTAAATTAGCATATATTTTTTGTCATATTAGTGTGTTATCATGATACAGGTAGTTGTATCATAGTGCCTTATGCATGTTATTTACCTATTATATACTTATGTAATGTATTATCAGTAGATGATAACATACTACTAAAATGTCTCTTTAATAGTATGTTTATCTTTCCAATTCACTAGTTATTTGCAAAATGTATTTTGAACTAATTTAAGTCATTAATTGATCATCTTTTCTTTTCAGGTTCCGGGATATTCTTTTTTCATTGTTAAAAAATATATATATTTCAATATTATTGTAATATAAATCGCAGCTCTAAAAAATAAATGATATTGTTTACTAATGTGTAATTTATTTACTATGAATTTTCTCTGAAAATAATAAGTCTTTAATAATATCATTGATTTGCTGTGTAAAGTTAATAGACATATTTTTTAATACTTTAAATTATATTAAAGTAATAAAAAAAAAAGTTTATTAACTTTAAATGGTAAGTCATTGATACTTAAAAATATTTTTTTAAAAATTTCCCCTCTTTTAAGCCCCGCCCCTCCAATTCCCCTCAATTTAGCTAGTACTGCCAGGCGACACCAGGTGGCGTCTGTTTGCATTTTTTAACATGAAGTTAGCATTTCTTTAATGTACCTATTCTCTGCGTCCACCAGTTCAGCTTGAATTCCCTGTCACTAATAAAATGCCTTCTAGACACGATTTATTCTATTTGCGAAAATTGTTTAAGGAAAAGCAACTTTTTTTCTATTTTCGATATAAAACAATGGAAAATTATTGCAAATGGGTCTTTTCAACACCTTTCGTTTTATTGTCACTAAGGAAGTTGGGATCCAAAAATTGCATCACGACATCCCACAAAACGGTCAAACTGGTCTTAGATGTTGATTTTAAAACGCCTTTTTTTCTTGAACGTAACGGACCCGATGTTTTGTCCCACTAGAATTGCCATCCGCCCCACTGTGCGCCAGGTGAAAATATGCTATAACTCTTCTGGGAGTGTAGTGCTAGCTCTGTAAATTGGGTGCTAGGTAGTGCTAGGTGGGTGCAATAGAGTGCTAAAATATTAAAGAGTTTGGAGAACCGAGGGGGGCTACTGTAACGGACCCGATGTTTTGTCCCACTAGAATTGCCATCCGCCCCACTGTGCGCCAGGTGAAAATATGCTATAACTCTTCTGGGAGTGTAGTGCTAGCTCTGTAAATTGGGTGCTAGGTAGTGCTAGGTGGGTGCAATAGAGTGCTAAAATATTAAAGAGTTTGGACAGCCGGGGTGGGGGTCTACTGTAACGGACTCATTAGACACCCCGGTTAAAATGTTCTGTAATTCACTAGGGGTTGTGGTGCTAGCTCTGTAAGTAGGGTGCTAGGTAGTGCTAGGTGGGTGCAATACAGTGCTAAAATATTAAAGAGTTTGGAGAACCGGGGGGGGCTACTGTAACGGACCCGATGCTTTGCCCCACTAGAATTGCCATCCGCCCCACTGTGCGCCAGGTGAAAATATGCTATAACTCTTCTGGGAGTGTAGTGCTGGCTCTGTAAATTGGGTGCTAGGTAGTGCTAGGTGGGTGCAATAGAGTGCTAAAGTTTTAAGGGAAAAATTCAACCGGGGGGGCTAGCGTTACATTAGCCCCCCCTCCGGTAAAAATGTCCTGTAACTCGCTAGGGGTTGTGGTGCTAGCTCTGTAAATAGGGTGCTAGGTAGTGCTAGGTGGGTGCAATACAGTGCTAAAGTTTTAAGGGAAATATTCAACCGGGGGGCTAGCGTTACATTACCCCCCGGTAAAAATGTCCTGTAACTCGCTAGGGGTTGTGGTGCTAGCTCTGTAAATAGGGTGCTAGGTAGTGCTAGGTGGGTGCAATACAGTGCTAAAATATTAAAGAGTTTGGAGAACCGGGGGCTACTGTAACGGACCCGTTATTTAAGTTAGAAAATTTAAAAAAAAATGATTTTTAATTTTGAAAAAATTTTGAGAGCCACCGGATTTTTTCTGTGTTTGCATCCGTTTTATTGCCGTAACCATAGAGTAAAGCCGTAACTCTGGTAATATCAAATATTAAGAAATTAAGCTCCTTTCTCAGAACTTCCTATTGTCGAGCGACTCCTCAAAAGAACCAATGACATTTGCACAAAATTTAAAATTGACAGCTGTTTGACTTTTGTACAAATCTTAAACCCCGTTCTCAGAACTACGTCGTGTCGACAGCGACACTGATTGACACTTCAAACGACCAATGGGAGCTGTACTAAATTTAAAATTGAGTCGCTTTTCTGAGGACGGGCCCCATCGTTCTGAGAACGACGTTGTGTCGCGGGCGACACAGTTTGACATTTCAAACAACCAATGAGAGCTGTACTAAATTTAAAATTGACAGCTGTTTGAATTTTGTACAAATTTGATTGGTTCTTTTGTCGTGCCGCTGGCGACAGTCGCAGTTCTGAGAACCGGGCTCTATTATGGTTCTTTTGACGTGTCGCTGGCGACAGGCGATGTTCTGAGCAATGCCGTCTCTAACAGAACAGCCTTGGGGCGAGATTTATGACGTCACGCTAGTTAGATACTACGGATTAATAAATATGTTGTAGAATACATGGAAAACATAATTATTCCTCACATTTTTGGTTTATATTTTAAAAATGATATAGTTTACATTAAATATACATAATATACAGTTAATAACTACAACATATATACCTATTTATAGTAATAAATACTTTGGCAAATAAACTATGAACCATACAAACGCAGCAAATGTTTTACAATATACAAATAATGTATAGGTATATAAGATATTGGGTAAAATGTAAATATATTTTAAATTTTGGGGTTTGAAAATCGATCTAATTTAACAAAAAACATTCAATATCTACTAATACTGATGTATTATTATTTGCATTCACAAAATTTATATCTATATTTTGCAAGTATCAATGTTAGAAAAATTATATTTACAAATAATACAATATCATCTAAAAAAAGGCGTCAGCGATGGCTATAAAATGAAGATCGCTGGCACTTTATATGTAAAATTATTCTACGCCAAAACGTTTTTTTTTAAACCAAGTAAAAATAATGAAAAACCAAATGAAAACTTAATCAGCGTTTTTCCCGAACCTAAATCCCAAGAAAATAAAAAAAATTAGAATATTTAGAAACAAGGTTCAAGAATATCAAATTTTCCAAGATTGTAAAATTCTAGTTAATTATTTTATTTGTACAATTATTTAGGAAATGTCATCGATTATATTATCAAACAAAAACACATTCTTCTTTTAAACTTTATCATTCTTGTCTTTACAAAAATCTTTTTTAATTTTGAACTCAAAATAATAATCATTTTCATGATCTTTAATACACATATTCTTTATTTTCCCCTAGATCATAATACCTATTTACGTGTTTATCTTACGTGTTTGAATCTATCGAAGCTGAACCAACAACACTTGGAGTGGAGATTCCACAATCTGAATAAAATACACATAATTGTCCAGTTTTCTTTAATACCATCCTGGGAGAATATTATTTTTAAATTTATTAAAGATATTTTCAATAGAATTGTCTTGATTTATAACTCGTACCCACTTTTCTTGCTCTTCCGGATACTTTAGGCTGCCTAGTATAACTATCCTTTCCACCAGGAACACAACAAAGATGAGGCATAGCACCAATCACAACCAAACCAAACACACTCCACTTAAGCTTTATTGATGAATTGTTAGAGTCTTAAAAAACACATACAAAAATCACGATAAATAAAAAATTTATGGGCATTTTTAGGTTAAAACACTTAACAAAACGTGTAATATTTTCGTGTTTTTTTATGAGAAACAGAGTGACCATCATAGTGACCATATATCTGATAGTACTTTATGTCACTTAAACACCAAAATAATTAGTTTTTTGCACTACAATAACAAATAATACCAAAAATCAACCGACAAAATATGATTACAGAATCTAACCCAATATCTAAGTATGTACAGCTGATGAAGTAAACAAAAGTCCGCCCGTAGGCTGATCTTTTATAGAAGGCATTGTTCTGAGAACGGGGCTTTAAGCTCCGTTCTCAGAACAACGTCGTGTCGCGGGCGACACAGTTTGACATTTCAAACAACCAATGGGAGCTGTACTAAATTTAAAATTGACAGCTGTTTGAATTTTGTACAAATCTGATTGGTTCTTTTGTCGTGTCGCTGGCGACAGTCGCAGTTCTGAGAACGGGGCTTTATACAGTGGGAAAATTTGCGGTAAACAGGCAGTTCTAAAAAGTTTTCGAAAAATATACAGGGAAATTTAAAAGAAAATGCACGATTTTCACCATCATCTTTTAGCGAAAAAAAAAACTCATAGACGTGTTCTTGGGGTCGAAATATACCACCCCTGAAAATATTTGCACTTATTTAAGACTCACCCTGTATATTTAAGTGGGCCGAAAAACGCTCTTTACCATCTTTTAACGGGAGATGCGCTAATATCTCACCGACACTTTACGACATCGTCGATTGATTTCCTTTTTACTTATTATTTATTTTTTTTCTCTAATTTCGATTTTTCGAAATTAGAAAAAAATAAACAGCTAAAGGCAAGAAAATATTATTTATTAATCAACATTATTTTATAGTGACCTAAGCCCTCCCAAAAGACTTGAGCCCCCTAAAAGTCTGTGTCTAGTTGCGCCCCTGCACCCATTTCATTTCAAATAATGAAATGGGTGCTTTTCATCCATTCATTAACCCTAGAAGGATAAAACTGTAATTTTTAGAATGTTTATTTTGTTGTATTTTTTTGTTATGTTTATATTATTTTGTAAATTTAATGTTAATAAAAAATGTTAAATAATAAATACGGATATTTTTTTTAATTCATCTACGGGATATTTCAACTAAAAGTATTTTAGAAAACTAAGAATTTATAAAATACTAAGATACTAAAAAATGTATCTAAATACAAGATATAAGTTGAAATTAATAAAAGTACGGTATGATAAAAAAAAAAACGGCGTTCAGTTGGCTTGGAAATGACGATCGATGACATTTCCAGTATAATTTTACAAATAAATGACAGTGACCTTAATTTCAGAGCCATCGCTGACGCCGTTTTTTTTCGATCATATTGTATTTCAAATAGATGAAAATACGTATTTTGTATCGTATACCTTTATTTCAAATAATACTTGTATCTCTGAAATAAGTCACATCTCTGTTCATACCAATTTAATGTTCTTTGAAGAAAAATATACACCCAATTGACGCATTATAACATGACAAGTATCGAAAAATAAATTTATTGCATGTATTTACCTTCTTGATTATTCAGCAGCATTAACTACTACTTCTAATATGAACTTCAATAAATTATACTCTGAAGTACTAATAATAATAAATAATAATATGGATATAAGATATTTATGACCTAGCCATATACCTACATCAATTAAACGAATAAAATTTTAATATTTAACCCTTATTATTATCCCTTTTGTTATAAATAAAAATCTCCATTAAGAATTAAAACACGTTTGTAAAAATACTTATTGTAATTTAAATTTTTAATATCAGTATGAAAACTATGTAAAAGAACTGAAGTTAATCTTTGGTATAAATAAGAATGGGATTATATATTGTCGGAATTAGCTAATAATATACAGGTGGGTGGTATTTAGTTAAACCAGGGATATTATAATTGTTAGAGTTATGAGCAATAAGATATCTTTGCGTATACGTCACAAATAGTATTGTATTTATAAGGAACTAATTTGGGGTAATTGTCACTTTATTTTTGGTGTTAAACAACCAAGAACTACTTGCTGAAGATGTTGCGAATTGTATTACTGACATTTGTCTTGGTTTCATGCGGTTACTGCAGTGTGCTGAGATGTGACTTGATAGTAAGTATATACCATAGTAAAATTAAATTTATTTTGTCCATAATCATACAATACAATTATTGTGTTAAAATAATTAATTTTTAATCTAGGAGCCTTGGAAAAATATATTTGATTGTCTAATGTTTTTCGTGGCCGGTTAAAAGATGCCCAAATCGTATTTTTAATCATAACTTTTTTTTTCAAATGGAACGAGGATGGCTCATTAGCATATTTAGAAAAAAACATTTTTTTACAAATAATTTGGTACCACATGCATACTTGGTATTTCGACTCAAATTGTCGTTATATTTATGGCCGTGGCACTTTAGAATGAAATCTAAATACTATTTTTAAGCAAAATTGTCAAAAATTGACCTGTGATATATCACTGTATTCAGAATGTAATTTTTTATCAAATAAAGTAAAAATACTGAGGGTGCCATTTAAAAATCAATCAACAGCATTTCCTGTGGAACAGGAAGTGAACGAAATTAATTGAATACGTCAATCAGTCCTGATTTATGTCACATACTAAAATATCAAATCTCTTTTTTTTAACTGAATAAATAAAAAAGTTATAGGAGTTATATGGTGAGCCGGTTTTGAAAAACACCCTGTATATCTACGTGTCTTTTTTTAAACTACAGTGATAGAACTGATTACTAACAATAATGTTTAGACAAAAACTATTTTTCAAATATGCTAATGAGCCACTCTCGTTCCATTTGAAACCGGCCAGGATAAGACACTAAAAACATTAGACGATCAAATCTATTTTTCCAAGGCTCCTTAAAAATTAGTGTTTTTAGCCATGGCACTCTAGATTAAAATTTAAAATACAATTTTGTTTTAAGCAAAAATGCCAAAAGTTGATATATGATATGTCATTCTATTCAGAGTGTCACTTTCGAATAAAGTTAAAAGTTAAATAAGTTAAAGTTAAAAAATACCGAGGGTGCCATTTAAAAATCAAAAGTTGCAGTCATTTCCGGTGAAACAGGAAGTGACCGAAAACAATTGAATACGTCAATCAATGGTTAATATATGTCATATATATTAATATAGGAAATATCGTTTTTTTTTAAATGAAAAAATAAAGAAGTTATAAGGGTGAGCCACTTTTGATACGCACCCGGTATGTACAAATGTTCTGATATCAAAATACATCAAATTTTACAGTGGATTTAAATCTATAAGAAAAAATAAGGGTATACGCATTCACCGTCAACTTCCGAATTTACCACCATATTGCAAATATTTTTTATCAGGGACACTCTGTATACTCGGCTCAACCAGGGACATTTTGTATTTTGTATACTGAGCAATATACAAGTTAATAATTAGTAATGAAAAATACGATTACTATAAAATAGTTCGAATACAAAAAAGGTAATTTACTGTAATTACTGAACAGTTTTAAGTAGAGCTTTGGATGTACAGAAAATGTACTCTAAAAATAAAACTATGACATTATACCATACGATCGAAAAAAACGGCGTCAGCGATGGCTATGATATGAAGATCGCTGTCATTTTATATGTAAAATTATAATATCATCGATTGTCATTTCCAAGCCAAAAAATAATTACAATATTAAATTAAATCACTCTGGAAAAACAAAGCAAAGTAAAAAAATAAAAAATACAACTTTAGTGTAAAAATAATTACAATATTAAATTAAATCACTCTGTATATCTACCAAACTGTTTTAAAATATGCCTTATTTCTTAGAAAACCTAATATTCATTTTTCTATAACACTGGACCACCCTGTATATATTTTTTACTTTATTTTTAGGATCCACACAGTAAAGAAAACGAACTCTGTTGGAGACAGTTGCTTTACAAGATCTACTACCCTCAGATAAATAGCGATCCTAGTCTAGAAAGTGTCCCAATACAAACACGAAACTCTGAAATAAGTAATTACCTTATGGATTACCTAAGAAGTTCCAAAATGAGCGGTAAAAGGAATCCAGACATCATGAAGTACATCACTGATTATAGCCAAGCAAAAGAAACCAACTAAACCCATCAAAATATCAAATAAAGTAATTTACCATTTCATAATTATCTTTTGTTATATTAAAAATTACTAATAAAGTCTTTAGCAAACGCGGTTGTGAGTTTTTTTTAATGTTTTGTATATATTAATACCCTATAAACAAGGTTAATACTGTATTTATATTTATAGCCATTAAAATTTAAATAAATTCAAAAATATGCGATTACCGCTATTTAATGTATAGATTTCTGTAATTTACAGAGCATATACTCCACCTAGCGGCAATTAGGAACACCAAAGTACAATTTGTCATGAATCTTTTCTCTGATTGGCAGTATTGAATAACATAGCCTCTTCCAAAAATGGTAGCATTTGATTACATTATTTTGTGAATGTTTGTGAGACAAAAGGGTGTGTATGCAAGTGTGTTTCGTGTTTAAATAGTGAAATGTGATTGTGTTCCTTCTATAATTAGTGCAATAGGATCGTTATCTCCAGAGGTATTTATATAAATTTACTATCTTATCAAGTACTGTCACCCATTTATCTTATCAACTTTCTTTTGTATTCATTTATATTTAATTCTTAATAAGTACCTATTGTACGTAATAAAACAAGTACATTTGTGTAGTATTTGTATACACACATGAGCAAATGATAATAGACCTTATCATAATATAGTTAATTTATAATTTCATCTAGGTCAAGATCAAGAAAATTAAGCTTTTTTAAACACAGAAACATATTTTCTTAGCTTGTAGATTTAAGTAAAACATCTCGAAAGTGTGTATTTCTTCAAAACATCCCTTTAAAGGGCCAGAGAGTAAACATTTGGCGACCTAATTATAGACTGTATCGCCCATTTTATAGAAATGTGTGGGTAGTGTTGTATTCATATTGATTAAGAAACTTCATTTATATATTATAGTCATTTTACGTTCACTGGTTTGTTTACGCTAGGTGACTCAATTTTCGATGTGATTAAGATTTTACTACGCTATTCATCTCTAAAAATATCTATATCCACCTTCAAAAAATATCACTGAACAAATTTTACACATAAAAATATTAGTCAATGATTTTCAAAGGAAGTAGTATACTGATATGAGCTAATATTTATTTTTTGCATCAGTGTGTATTCAGCTGTACACAATTTAAATATTATAGTGGTTTAAATGTTATAAATTTAATAAAATTATATATCTTCTTTAATTTGTTTCCTTTTTTCTATATAGGATTTAAACATGTATCCAATTCAGGTTGCTGTAGCTACCTACCTCTTCATATGCATTATCTCTAGTATAGTAGCCCAAGTGCCTCAAAGATTCACTGCCCAAAACCCGTGCACTTCCAAATCAACTTGCCAAGAATGCATTCAGACTCCTTCGTGTGCATGGTGCTATGATCCTGTAAGTTTTAATTCAATTCTGTCTAAATATTCATTCATTTTTGACTAAAATCTTTTAGGAATTTAGTGGTAGTGCTCGATGTTTCCAACCGTCATTCCCTATAGCCCCCAAAGATCAGTGCAAGGAAGAGTTTGTGTTCAATCCTGATAACACAATGAGTGTTATTAGTAATTTAGAGCTTTCCAAGGCCCATTCGAAGGCAGGCAGCGGTGGATACCATTGGGGAGTCGGTTATGAGGGTAGTTGGAATAATACGGAGAGTTGGGGCTCTCACATATATCAACAAGGGCAAAGTGGAGGTGGAGGTGGTGGTGGTGGTGGACAGATCGTTCAAGTTGCGCCACAAAGATTGAAGTTACAGTTAAGAGCAAGTAAGTTATTTTCGAGGTTATTTTCTACAGGGTGGCGGAATCTCAAAGGAGAAAGGTGGTTTGTCTTGAAGTAAAATTGTGTGATCATATTTTAGTTAATTTAAAGCATTTTTTAAAATTATATAGTTTTTAAGATTGCCATAAAAAAGTTACACATCAAATTTGTGTTTTTTGTAATGGAACACACTATATATTAATTGATTTTCGGATTGTAGGGAAAAAATAAAGGTGAGTTTGATTAGAAAAACATATTACTAAAATGTAAAGTTTTTAACATAATTTAACATTTTCTAAAAGTGAAGAATAAATTTTAAATTTTAATAAAAGCTATCTAAATTGGAATTTACCTGGTCTAGCCTAATATGTAGTTAAAGTAACCATTGTACTTTAAATCAAATTAAAACTTGACCCACCCGTAAAGTTATACAGGGTGAGACAAAATTAATATTAAGGTGCGTTCACAGCGGCTGCGCCGCGCAAATCGTTTTTTTAACATATACGTACTTTTTTGCTCGCTAAAAAAATACACTTCAAAAGTGCATGTTAAAAAAATGTTTTGCACGGCGCGGCGCGGAGCGGCGCAGCCGGTTTGAACGCACCTTTAGACATTGGTCACACTTTTAAAAGTATGTTACACTTTTATTTCAAACGGAACACCCAGTATATTATTCCGATATTTAATGGGTAATTCATGTCTTCAAAATACTATTAAGGTTGCCTACCCCTGACACAAAGATTTTCTTAGATATTTTCATTTTTATGATTTAGTATCAGTAGATCTTTATTATTTGATAAAATCTATGTGGCTGTGATATGCCCGATGTTACTTCAACATAACTGTTAAATTAGTTCAACTTTAACAACTAGTTATCCTTCTGCGTCAGTTAAAACAATAAAAATTGTCAGAAATTTGCTGAAAATGGTAACTTATCCTACAGCAGAGAGAATTGATATGATTCTATTAATTCGTGAATGCAACACGCATCGGGTCTAGTTTTAATTTGATTTAAAGTGCATACCAGGTAAATTCCAATTTAGTTAGTTTTTATTGAAATTTAAAATGTATTCCTCATTTTTAGAAAATGTTACAACCTACCCAACTATAATAAAACTCATCTTTATTTTTTTCTCAGAATCCGAAAATCAATTAATACATAGGGTGTTCCATTACAAAAAACACAACTTTGATGTGTAACTTTTTTTGAGGATATTCTGTGCCCTGTAGAACTATATAATTTCAAAAAATGTTTTCAATTAACCTTCATATGTTCTTCTTACAAAATTTCATTTTAATACAAAGCTTTGGAGCACTTTGCTTCGTCTGAGAGGCGACACCCTGTACATAATAAGGTATAGGTATAAGATGTCTATATCTATGTGGCGGATTCATCTCTCCAAAAAAATCCTTTATGGGTATTTAAGTATTTAATTTTAAGTGGCAAAATACCCATAAAGGATTTTTTTGGAGAAAGGTATAGGTATATTTAGATTTAATTGTGTTCTAGGACAGTCTTTTAGTATTTACATGAGTTACACCCAAGCAGAAGACTACCCAGTGGACCTGTACTATCTTATGGACCTCAGTAGGTCTATGTTAGATGACAAGGAAAAACTGTCCTCTTTGGGGGATCAATTGGCCCAAACTATGCAGAACATTACTTCAAACTTCACACTTGGATTTGGAAGTTTTGTGGATAAAGTTGTTATGCCATATGTCAGCACGCTTCCTGAAAAGTATGTAGTTATTTTTAGTTAGTTTTGCTGAATAGTATTTATACTCATATTTTGAGGAGAATTATATAATTTTTTATTTGTTGTTTTTATGAATGAAGGCTAGGTCATATATACTTTTGTGGATGAAGCTATAATATTTATTTTTAATACCGTATGATCGAAAAAAACCGGCGTCAAAGACGGCTGGGGAATAACAATCGATGATAATTTTGGCGGGGTGAAGCACTAGACATTATTTGCTTGGTCCGTACTTTTCTTCATATTTTCATGGCGCGTACTGTCAGTTGGCCTTGTAGAGGTTGTTAAGAAGGTTGTAATTTATTTTTATATTGGGTAAAAATGATTTTTAAAGGTGTATTTTAAAATTCGAGAAAAAAATATTTTTTTTTGGAAATAGATTTGTGTCCTCGTTTGTGTCTGAAAACGTTCTATCCGTTTTTAATCTCTCTATAATTAGTGTTATTTTTTTGACACTTTTTAGTAAATGACGCCTAGAGATTGACCTCGCCGAAATTATTATCGATTGTCAGCAGTCTTTGAAGTTGTTTTTTTATGATCATACAGGATTTCAATCAGTATAAATCGCTTCTTAGTCATATAGAAAGATGTAGAAAAAAAAACTTATGATATATTGACATCCGTGTAGTATATATGTTCTAGTAAGTGAAGCCTAGCTTTGATATGTCTTACCTGTGTTACCTAGGTTGCAGAGACCTTGTGACGTGTGCGTAGCACCATACGGATTTCACCATCATCTGAGTTTAAGCACTAATACATATATGTTTTCAGTAAGTTTCCATGCAAAAAGTCAATTTTTGCTAGACTTTTATACAATTATTATTCCTTATTTATCTTTCGTTCATCTCATTTGCTCTGACTTGCTATCAATGTATAGATGTATATGTATGCGTGTTATCAGTGGTACATGTTTTTGTTTGACAGGTATACTTAGGTTTGCAGGATTCTTGGGGGCTACGTGGTTTTGTGATGCAGCATGCAGGCATGTTGGTAGAAGGAAGATTATATTCTTTTCTTACATGTTTATTATTATTTGTAATGTTACATAGAAAATTAGGTTATGTTTTATGTTATTCATTTGAATAAAGATATTAAGGAAGCAGTACAACAGACTCTAAAGTGAAGCTCGATGAGGGATTTATGGTCTTATATTCAGGTTCATCAGTGCCGTTCTAATTTTATTTAAAACTTGTAAAAATGTAATGTGTAGTTGACTCAATAATTTGTTGATTTTGTTTTACGTTATTAAAAAATATTTCAATTTCAATAATTTCTTATGATAATAGATAAGTTATAATAGTTATTTAACAACAAAAATATCAGGTACGCTACTGAAATGCCTAAGTCAAATTGGGCGGATTCAGTAAACACACCAGTATCAACCGGTAATGACCCACCGATAACTTTTTATTGAACGATCGAGACAACAAAAAATGTGACAGGTGACAATTATGACAACATGCGCTGACCGGTATGTACATAAACCGGAAACAAAATACGGTAGGCTCTCAAGTGACCACAACCGGTGAGTTACCATTGGCATTCACTTTAATTTTCTACACCGGTGGACTAACCGGTGTGTGTACTGAATGCGCCCATTGACGTTGCACAACTAACTATTTTACAGTCTTTTTTTGGATTCGCAATAATGTATAATGTCACTATTAATTTAAGTTCTGACACAGTATTCTTCTAAATTTACTACTTCTAATCAAAACCATTTGTAGAATAAATCAGAAATAACGTAAAATAAGCTCAGAAAAGCCCAACAAATTGACAAAATTTCAAATCAAATCAAATGTGTCAATTAAAACGTCAAACAGAACTGCCAAAAATGGGGATTTAGGATATCAATTTATGTCTTTAATATTTTTATTCAAAGTTTTATACAGTGACCATCAAAAAGTCTTTGCAACAATTTTTTTTTTTATTGAAATATATTGTTAGTCTAAGGTAATTTATTTCTCGATAACTCAATAATAAACAAATTTCTAATTTATTGTGAACTTTTTGGAGGTCAGTATACCATGTTATGACAATAATACAAGTAGTATAATAGAACAAAATAGTTAAAGTATACTTACCGTGATGTTTATTGCAATCTTAGATCTTCTAACCTACGTAGATAGTCACTTCATTCTTGTTGAAAACATATCAGTGAGTTTTTTTTTGTTTGAACTTGACAACGTAGCAAAAATCCGCTAAAAGTTGGCACTCATGTTCAATATCGTATTGCACAAACTCAGATACCCCACATGGATTCAAGGATAGGTTTATAGGCATGGTGCATTTTCCGAGGGTACTGCCACAATTCATATACACATTATTCAAATACACGAGCTTAAATAGCGAGTACACAAAAAATTTGTTATATTATTTGAAAAGTATTGCAGTTAGTAGGTGCAGTTTGTAATAATTTAAAAAAAAATGTAAGCTTTTTCATATTTTCAGAAGGTCTAACGTTTATTATAATTTATTATTCATGTTAATAAAACTTTTTAGATGGGTAATAACACGCCGACTGCTTTAACTACGGTAGGCGAGCATAGTTTTACGCACCTGTTTTGCTAGTTGGGACACAATTGGGTTAATCTGAACTATAACAATTTTTTTAAAGGTACATAATTATAATTTTAGAAGTCGAATTTTCTGAATCTATTTTTGCTTTTGATTAAATCGGTGTGAAAACCTGGAAACCTGTAAAATTTTGTTCTGGGAGAGTTGTATTGAGCCTAAAGGCTGACGCTCACTAGAGGGAAGCGCGACGGAGCGCAAGGCAGCGCGGCGAAAAGGAATGTTTATAATACATAGTTTTAAATGGGAGCGCGCTCACTTGGCGGAAACGCAGCGGTCGGCAGCGAAACGATTTAAAACTATGTATTATAAAAAATCCTTTTCGCCGCTCCGGCGCGCTTCCGTCTAGTGAGCGTCAGCCTTAAGAGTTGTTATTGCGCCTAACAACCATGCTATACCGACCTCCTTTACGTGTTAACATTTTTTCGACAATTTTATTGTCATTTGAAACTGTTACACAATGCTTCACCCAGTTTGGATTTGTTTTCAGTTAATTTTTACTACCTGAAACAGCATTAAATGAATACACGCATTTCATACCTGAGAATTTTATAGGTTCAATAACTGCACTAGTAAAAATCAAAATATTTATATATTATGACAGGCCACGATTTCAATATTATTTCAGTTCGATAAACGATAACCGGGACGGCGTGAAATAAAGTTAGTCGGACAGTTATGATTTCTGCCGTACAGAGCGCTGCTGTCGGAATTTTATAAATCCGTTGAAATATTGAAATGCACCTTGTTAACCTTGTTTTCTAAAAAGAACTAAAAGTTGTTTGCAATACCTTATGGCGTAGCTTATAGGATCTAAGATTGTAACAAACGTTAGAAAGAGTATGTTTCGTTGTAGTTTAGTGCATCCCTGCGCTGATTGCGCTGCCCCCTATGGTTACCACAATATGATGCGTTTGTCCCAAGACACCTATCTCTTTTCAGTAAGTCACAGGACGACTAACGACGAATTTCTGAATCTAACCCCGTTTTAGTGTCTTTATTTTTTTAATTCTCTAATATTTTAACAGTTTCTGTCTTTCTGTATAACAAGTAACATACACATATTTGATACTTTTCCTTTTCTAGCAATTTCTAAGAATATCGCGATTGACATAGAAGTTACTGAGTTTAGAATTTACAGAATCTTATTTCTTTTATAAATTTACATTTATTTTTTATTTCTCTGTTCTGTTTCAAACGGTTTGTTTAAATTTTCCTTGTATATGTTAGGTCAAAATAACGGCCTGTTCCACTGCGATTACTGCATATTCCTTTTCATCTTACAATGCCCTGTTAGTAGATCCCGAGGGGTGTCTCACTATTGGAATTACATGTACATTTTCTTGGCAGTCGCTGGCAGTCTTATGACAGTCGCTGGCAGTCTTATGGCAGTCCCCTATAATAATTACATGGCAGTCATAGGCAGTCTTCTTCATAGTCATTGGCAGTCGCTTAGCAGTGGAAGGATATTTTGGCAGTACGTGTACATTTTTTACCCGAGCGAGACACCCCTCGGTAGATCCACTACCGCTTTGACTCTGTTTCTGTCTTTGCTTATCAGGTTTGTCGTGAATTTTGGCGAATGTCCACTATGATTTTTTTCGCCTGTCTACCCTGGTGAATCTCTCCACCATTCTAGAGATTTGTTGTGCAACGCCGTAGAAGGGTTCTGGACCTATAAATGGCATTATATCTTTTATTACAGTGTATTTTATGATCTATGTCTCAGGAGAAGAGGGACAAAGATTTTTGTTGGTTAAGGAAATTTTTATAACCAGTATAATAAGAAATATGAAATTTGTCTTCGTGGATTCTAAACTCAATGGATTTTGTAATTTAACGAGTTATATTTATCCTTATATTGCTGTTCCGTAGCAACATATCCCTTTTAAAAACTAAAATACGAGTATTAATGTACTACCAGTTCTGTATTTTACTGTCATTATTATCCTTTTAATACCTTTAATACAAGCAACTGTTACATACACTTATTAACATATCTATACCTCCCCGATTTACCTACTTATTTATTTATAACCCCCATTACTTATACCATGTATGTATATAATATTTAATGTTTTTGGTCCTATATTGTTTTTAACAATACTAAGTAGAGTATAAATCTAATATTATAGTGGTTGGCTTGGTTTAAAATATTTTTACTAATACGTATTTTGGTTTGTTATTTTATTTTCTGCAGCTAATATTTAATTTTCATTTTCCTCACTAAAACATAGTAGAGTAGTATGCTAAGTAGAGTTCATATCATTGCGAAAAAGTATTTAATTATAGAATTACTGGAAAATAAAGTATTTTACCAGAGACAATCCCTACAAAACCTATTTTGTTTAGGTGGATTTTAAATCGCGGTCCTCAGTTGTATAATGGCCGATTCTGTGAAACATTAAATCGACTATTACTCACGAGATATCTGTTATGAATGAGCAATGCGTCTAAATATATTTTATTAAAATTTAAAACTATACAAATAAAAAGTTCAAATTATTTTTCACTACAACTCGCGATATACGGGAAAATTGCAGATCAAGAATAATTTACGATATTTCCCAAACAATGCCACGTTGCCAACCACCACGTTGGGATCAAAATGTTGCAAAATTACTTAAAACTAGAGGGATCGGCTGCGCCGAAGCAGCAAGCATGGCCCTAGGCAAGAAGTGGCAAAATTTTATTTATGGAAAGTAGCTACTAGAAGCCTACACCTTCGGGTAGAAGGCCTTCGATTATATGTATAAATATATAAAATTTAAAACTGTTATTTATAAATAAAAGTTATCAGCAGTTATTGCTTCCCAAAGTAACAGTTCTGTTTGAAACTGGTTGTTATTTAACGATCTGTTATTTTCAAACTGATTTATAAATAAAAGTTATCATTAATTATTGCTTTCCAATATAATATTTCTGTTTGAAACTGGTTGTTATTTAATCATCTGTTATTTTCAAACTGTTATTTATAAATCAGTTCTGTTTGGAACTGATTATTATTTAATGATCTGGTGTTTTAAGACTCTTAATTAAGATTTATAAATAAGGGTTAGCAACAGTTTATACTTTCTAAAATAACAGTGATGTGGAATCGGCATAGCGTCGCTTAGAAATTCTACCAAGCGCGCAACAGTTCCAAAAAAGAATCAAAGGAACAGTTGTTGCTTCATAAAAATATCAGTTATTTAAATAATAATACTTTGACATCTATGGTTTCTCATATGAAGTTGGGTAAACAATAGTCGCAATATATAAAAAATGTTTATTAGCCATATAAAATGAATATTAAGCTGTTATTGTTAATAACGATAACAGTTCCGGCGGGTATTTAGAAATAACAGTTTTTCCACCTCTGTTACCTGTAAAAATCTGATCTACAACTAGTATCAAAATAGGATTGATATAAGTATGTTTGCAATAATATGAACTTGGCTTTAAGATATGCATGTAATTATAACATCAGCTGTAAATATATTCACGTTCAAATAAACGACGTTTAATAAACGTTTTTTTATCGAAAATTCACGTTGCTTAGAGAATGGTGAAACAAGCCAACGTTTCCGGAAACTTGGACGCGCCGGAAGGAGGTTTCGACGCCATCATGCAAGCCGTCGTGTGTAGAAATAACATCGGTTGGAGAGAAAGAGCTAGAAGACTGTTGGTGTTTTCTACCGATGCCAGTTTTCACTATGCTGGAGATGGAAAAGTGAGTCAACTGTCCCTGTTTTTAAGCAAATTTTAATTTTTGATTTTCTTAATACCATCATTAAATTTTATTTTAGTTGGGAGGTATTGTAAAACCGAACGACGGTCATTGTCATTTGAGCAACGAAGGATACTATAGCGAGTCTTCCTACCAAGATTACCCATCTATAGAGCAGATTAACTTGGCTGTCAAAAAGAACTCCATCAATGTTATTTTTGCTGTCACTGGAAGTACTATTGGCATATACGAACAACTTGCCAAACATGTTGAAGGAGCATCAGTGGCCAAACTAGAAAAAGACAGCTCTAATATAGTGGATCTGATCAAGGAACAGTATGAACAGATCTCGTCTGTCGTCGAAATGAAGCACAACGCTTCCAGTGCTGTTAGCATAAGATTTTTTACCAAATGTCTGAATTCTACTGGTGCCCTGGTGAATACAAACAAATGTGCAAATATTAAGGTAAGCTATGCTTTAGATAAATAAAAAATTCGGCGTCAGAGAAATAAATAAGCCTAGAGGTCTTTTAAAATATTAATTGCCATTTAGTTTGTACGGCCAAGGTCAGTATTCTTCATCACTACCGATCGCTATTTCGTTACAGAGTTCCAGCCAAGGTTTCTTTATTTATATTATTTCTTTGAGATACATTTTATGGCTTATGCGGTATTGCCAAGAGGGTGAAATTTTCCTGAATTTTAAGGATTTTCTCTGTATTATTGTATGCGGTGTTGCCATGAGGTGGAAATTTTCCTCACATTTAGGAATATTGCCCCTATTATGTTTAATATTTTTTCCGTTTTTTTAGGTGGGTGATGTAATAAACTTCAAAATCGACATCGAAGTGCTGAACTGCCCGAAATTACGAAAAGATCGCACGCAAACCATCAAAATCTATCCAGTCGGTATCAATGAAAGTTTAATCATGGACTTGGAGATGCTGTGCGGTTGCGACTGTGAACAACCAGGAGACAGAGTATTACCATACAAAATTATACTGTTTTAAAAATATATCTACAATATAATTTAATTTTTTCTAGTACTACTTAGAGAATGCTCCAGCCTGTCACCATCACGGTACCTACAAATGTGGTATTTGCGAGTGTAATCCTGGAGCGTTTGGGAGACATTGTGAATGCAATGCTGACGAAATTAACAAGTTGTCGTTCAATAAGACTTTGGGATGCATTAAACCGAACAGTACCACTGGACAGGAATGTTCTGGAAGGGGAACTTGCATTTGTGGACGGTGTGAGTGCGAATCCAGAGGTACTTTGGAGGTAAGTCTTTTGACAAGTGTCAAATAAAATTCCCATTTTATCACCGATATTTCACTTCAGTTTTAACCACAATACATACTTATACAAATATTTTTCTACAGCAAACAAATTCTCTCTCTCTCTCTCTCTCTTATTAGATGGAGTTATTAGCTAGCTTTCTGATTGAAAGCTGAAAAATGTAAAGTTCGAATTGGTTAACATTAGTCTTCACTTTTTGTGAGATTCTACGCAAGAGTCCATAAACTGATATTGAGCGCAGCTAAAACTCGCCGAAAGATCTATGTATTTTCTATAAAAGCTGAAAAACTTAAGTATGTAAAAAAACATTCCATTTTATTTCTTAAAAATATTATCTGTTAAATGCAGATCATTTTGCTTCTTCTTTTCTTTCTGATCTCTTTGCTAAGCAATCCCTATGCAGCAGGTTTGATGAAAGGCTGTAATTGTGTGTCAACTATCTTTTATTAGTATGTAAAGTTCGTAAAACTTGGTTGCCTCATAGTCATAAATTTGAACCTTAAGGTACCTCTACGAAATAAATAGAACAGCTAAGATCTATAAAGATCGCTAGAGATGATAAGAATTTGGCAAATTTAAAATTAAAGGTTAGAATGATATAGATCCGGTAGAACTGGAACCTGGATGTAGCTCAATGAAGCTTGATGCAACTCCGGACCCGACTCTTTAAAATACAGGATCTCTATTTTCTGTATGCATTTTTTGCAGAATATCTATGGCGACTACTGCGAGTGCGACAACTTCTCTTGCGAACGACACATGGGAGAACTGTGCAGCGGTGAAACCCACGGCATCTGCGATTGCGGCGTGTGCAACTGTAAACCCGGTTGGACTGGACCCAATTGCGCATGCGAGGCATCTACTGCGGGTTGTTACGCCCCTGACATCATAGGCGGGGAGATATGCTCTGGACACGGTACGTGCGTGTGCGGCGCTTGCCAGTGCGAGAACACCAAGGAAAGCCGTTATTCTGGAAAATTCTGCGAAGCATGTCCTGTAAGTAAAAGTAATTTCGACGAATAACATACAACTATTATATTTTCAGATATTTTAGAGTACACAAAATCAACACTTACAGAATTTTGTATCTTAAAAGATGGTTAATTAACATTAATCTTAATTTTTTACAGCCGTTCCTTTTGTCCTTATGCTACAGTACTAAAAGTTATTATTGGTGGCTCATATTATACAGATTATAATCTTTGTTTTTTCTTTATTGTTTTTCGTGGTTCCAATTTTCGGAATTGGGCACTAGTTAGGTTACTAGTTTGCGCACATAGCACGCCCACTTATGGCCTCTAAAATTGTGCACAGCGCCTGACCGGTACAGTTATTAGAGAGATATCGGAAAACCGAATAGCGTCATCCAGTATTTACGCGTACCTTATCATGGTTACGATATGCGCGAGTCAATTTTTAACGCAACACCCGCTAATAACGTTACCGCCTGACGTAATTTGCGGATCAATTACACCAAGCGCTCTTTCTAAATAACCTCTGATAACGTTTAAAAATTGCTTAAATGGGCATGTGCGGGTATTTGACAACCGGAGCCGACCGGCGAGATCTTTTATTTTAAGTTATGTTTGAATTGTTTTGAATTATTGCTTTAGTTTTATTAGGTAATTTGATATTTAAGTAGCTGGAATTAGTTTTAATTAAATAAATATGGGCCCAAAATATGGATTCCACCTCTTCCAATACTAAAGAACCTATAGTCTTAGGTTTACAGCAGATGACGACTTAGCCCTTCTAAGAGAATTTGTTGCTTGTTGCCCTAAACCCACTGGCAGACGTGGCATAATAAATACGTGGAATAAATAATTAGAACCACATAATACGTGGAATAAAGCACTGGAAATAAGCACTTTAGCCCTTTAGTTTTAAAATACCTAATAAACAAAACAATTTCAAAGTTAGGTTAAGTTTAAATAGCGGACGCGACGCGATCAGAATTTTTTCCGATCCGATAACTATAAATGAAGAGAGTTAATACCACCTCACGTAAAGTAAATAACACCTGGCCTTATTAACGTCCATGCACGCTATTCGGTTTAGCGATATCTCTCTATTACGCTGTTTATTGTTATTTTACGCGAGTTTATTTTCGCGCACAGGAAATTTGACTCGTTTGCACATCGTCATAAAAAACAATTTTCGTACCACGAATTAGGGACAAGATTTTTATCTGTATACTTATAGGATACCTAATCTGTGATATTATTCTCTGGGTCTATACTTACTTTTCCCTCGATTTTTCCTCCACTTTAAAAAATGCAAAACGCACGCAATAAGACTAAACAAAATGTAAAAGCAGTATCGCAAATATTTATCGTTTTCCAGAACGCTGGTTATTTGACATAATTTGAGACAAGTAGTAACCTTTAATTTAACAAGAGTTTGGCAAGTTTCAAAAATCTTAAGTTGAGTGCATACGCATCTGCGTCGTTCACCGGTCCCTCACTCTAAACATATTGAAATATAATCTGTCATTTTTGAAATAAACCAATAAGACTGATTAAAAACAATAGGAGACGGCGCATGACGGATTTATACATTTAAGTAAAATATTAGAAACTTTTTTTAGTGAAATAAATGGATTGGTATGGACGTCATTTATCTTTTTTTTCTCATCGTCTGTCGAGATCACCCCCTACTCGTAAAACAGAATATAGATGAGTTGTAATTTTGCTTTTTAACGAATTTTTAGACTTGCCCCGATAGATGTCTGGAATTCAGGGATTGTGTTCAATGTCAACAGTATCATACGGGTCCATTGAAGGAACCTGATGTTTGTAGCGCGAACTGTACCAACGTGCCTGTTCCCATTGCAGTAGATACAGTTGAAGGTAATTATGTTTTTTTTTTCATTTATTTATTCAATTTTTTATAATCATATCAGATTTTATCGCACGTCTTATTAAATATTATTTGAGATTCAAATTAAAGGAAATTTTATGATTTTATAAATCAGTGATGTTTATTGATAAAAAAATATACCGGGTATCTCTAAATCAAAATCTAAACGACATCCCTTCTGACCTACAGGGTGTTAAAAATTAAAAAAAATCGGATTTACGAACTACTTTGGATATTTTCTTCAATTTTGGTATGTGGTTTTCAGGTACAAAAAGAGTTCATTTCCATTAACTTTTGTTATCCTACTCGAACCAGTTCTAACACTACTCTAACTAGATTGATATCTTGAGATTTTCTTGTACATCAAACGATTTTCAAGAAAAAAGTAACTCTTTACTTTTTTATAGAGTACATTTTTTAATTAATTGAGAATAATATACAGTACGTCTGCTGGATCTGTGTCTATGAAAGGAATGCGGACAAAAAACATTTAAATAAACAACAATATATTTTATACGTCGACTTGACGAGTACGTCCCCGCCCACTCATTTTATTGGCTACTTGCAAATTTGTCGAATTTTTATTGATGGGACACGTCGTCTAATTTTTTACGAAAAACATCGAGAGAATATCGTTTTCCCTCTCACGGATACCCCGTAGCTACAGAACGGACAGACGTACTGTAGATTATACCGAATAAACTTTTAGTCACGTGATTAAGCTTGACCGGCACAGCGTTGCCCACATTTACAGATATTCTTTTAATCAAAATATTTTAGAAAACAAAAATAAATTAATTTTAAATATACCTTGCTGGCAACTGTTACTTTTGGGTCGGTATTTACATGTGTGGAAGTAAATCGCATAGGGATCTTATTAAGTTCGAGTGAGAGAAATCGACGGAATGCTGTTGCGGCATTGCCGGTACGCCTTTCCCTATCAAGTAAAGTAAAATCACGATCGCAAACCGCTTATTTTTCGAAAAGATAACTAGATAAAATCATTAGAAATGTTTCTGAGCATCTGAAATGGAATTATAAGGATATCTTTAAGGTGTCATTTTTTTTATAACGAGAAAACGTCAGTAATCCCGATAATTTAAAAACTCAACTTTTTAACACATAACGCCATAACTCAAGAAACACTTTAGATATTGAAACTTTTTTTATTAAGATAGGATCTTTTACAATATGTTTACATAAGAAAAATTCGATAAGGTTGTTTTTTTTCCATTCAAAAATTGTAACAACCCATCTATTTACTTTTTTGAAAAAACTACAGTTATTTCTAATAGATTTCGAGATATCGATTTTTGAATTCAGAGTTCTAATAGCCCGACCACTGTCGAAAACCAACTCAATTTCACTTATGTTTACCAAAAATGCAAAAGTGTTTCTAGCTTGCACTTAAAAATTTTCAAGCTATAGGGAAAATTACAACGACTTGTTAATAAATAAACAAATAAAGTATCACGAGACGTAATTAAATCGTGAAGCTAAATGCATGATGTACACCTTTCCCTAGAACTTTAAGTACTGACAGAGGTACTGATTCGGTCGACCGGTTAACTGCGACTAATCTGCTATATCCCCTTCCACGTCTCTTAGCAATGTGCACAGTTTCTCGATTCATTTCATACGTTTGGCAACGTGTTTACTGTTGTCTCTTTGTTCAGTACATTATAAACGCATTGTACTCTTCTTACATACGGAAATCTCGACCCAAGACTAACCTTTGCCAGCCCTTATTATAACCAGTTATTATTTACATTAAAGCTTAAAGTATCACAACACAATTCATTTAAACTAAAAACTGGTAATACAAAACTAAAGTGTTAATTCAATCAACTAATGCCATTTTTAGGAAATAGATAAATAAATATGGCAACGTGACATTTTTTACAGCAGAGCTATCACCTGAATCCCCAGCGAGAAATTTAAATTCCAGTAAGTGAGCCCGGCGCCTAATATATCCATGGTTGGCAACAATGAATTTAAAAATCGCGCACTTTTTTACTTAACTAAAAGTTTAATTGGTATCGCTTATATTATTATGTTCCCTCACGAAACGCCACTGATTGACGCACATTATCAAGAGTCTATTTATAAGCAATACTCGAAATAATAGACAAAAATAATCTCACTTCCTTAATAGTATTTATTTCTAATCTTAAAATTAATATTTTTTTTGAGACTCATACAATATGTACAAACATTAAAGATAGGAAGGAACACATTGCCGTTGAAAAAACTCCAGACAGTACAGTCATGACTGTAATTAGAGATTTTTCTTCGCCGTTTTGAGCACTAAAAAAAAGAATATAAAAAATTAGACTATTGGGGTCTAGAACACGATGAGAGATACGGGGTGGCTTAAATTAGGGTACAGTTGTCTGTTGGTGGGCCCAATGGTAAAATTTGTTTAGTAATTGAACTTATTCTTGTCATTTCCCGAAATATGGCAAACTGAAATTTCCGCTTTTCAGTTTTCATTTTTTAGAAGTTTATTTTGACAGAAAAATATGTAAAGACAGTCTCAAAGAAACTTTCTTAGCTTTATGTTTTGGTGACATGAAAAATCACTTAACACGGTTCATTTTTCTGAGACCATCATCAACTTTGTTTTTTTTAAATAGAGACCTGGCTTTTTAATTTCATTTATTAGAACCTTATAATCTCCCAAATGCAATGATTTATCGCACTTACCCGAAAAATGTTGCTTGTTTTTACACGCACGAAAGTGACCCGGTCCGTAAACCCATCCCCCTCCAACATATTGCCTAAAAAAAGTAAAGATTTCAGTTAACGTCTTCTTTTTGCTGCCAGGGCTAATCTGGACGGGGCCTACTTTGTTTACGCGGAATCCGAATCGCGGTCCTCGGTCATATCATGGTCAATGGCCTACCGACTTGACAAGTGTCTAAATCGACTCTTACTCACGAGATATCGGATCTCATCCGGCCTCGAACCGGCGCGGCGTGAATGAGCAGTGTGTGTCAATAGATTTTACACTTTTGCCTTTTTTGGACAACAGCACGATACAGAGTTTCGAACCGGTCACCCGTCCATCCACTAGTATCGCCTTACGTCGCTTAACTTCGGTGTTCTAATGGGAACCGGTGTTTCGACGTAGCTGGGCCGTTGCCCAAACATATTGCCTGTTATGAGAATATTCTTCATTATACATTTCTTGGGCAAGTGCGCTACATCATTGTATTTGGGAGATCATAAGCTTCTAAAAAATGAAATAGAAAACCCATATACGTATTTAAAAAAATAAAGATGATGGTTCCAGAAAAACGAAACCTCGTAAGTGATTTTGCACATCACTATGAAACTAAGAAAGTGTCTTTGAGAATGTATTTGTAGATTTTTTCTAACTGGTGAAAAATAAACTCTAAACTAAAAAATAAAAGTGAAAATCGGAAATTTCAGTTTCGCTGCCATATTCCCAGAAATTATAAAAATAAGTTCAATTGCTAAACGGATTATCACTAACATCACAATCACTAACAGGCAACTTTGCCCCAATTTAAGCCACCCTGTATCTCTTACTGTTTCCGGGATCCCAATGCTGAGTATGTATCGCTTACCTCGTAGGGACTGTAACAATACACAGATTAATAAGGTATCCATTCGAAAACATAAATAAAATCGTAAACATGACGTATGGCACGTCATAGAATAATACTGGTATGTGAAACCTTGGCTGGACGTTGCAATAAGTCAACAGCGGAATAAATCCTATCCTAAGGATCGCGATTGCTAACACCACCCATTCGTGGTTAGGCTGAAAGTTTATAACCAAAAAATTAGAGATCTTTTATTTATGGTTGGTTCATATTTTGAGTATTCTAACATTAACCCTAAGCAATTAACCTTAAAGCTTCATTCATAATTTCGAAATTAGTGGAATAAATTAGTGGTTTCAATTAGCGTAGAAGTTTCTGCCTCTAATTTCAATGTAAGCATTCAGAACGTGAAAATTAGTGGTAGTAATTTTCAGTGAGTGTAAAAAGTTAACAAACTATTAACTTTTGCCACCAATTACACTTCAAAATTTGCGAGCAATGTCATTTTGGCCTTTGATTGTCATACGTCAAGAGAAATTGTGGTTACAAATTAAAAGTTTGTTGTTTTATAAGCTAATTATTATGCTTTCTCTATGGATACATCTGGCTACCGCAATCTGTTGCTAGGATAATTTATTAATTTTTGATTGTATTTGTTAGCCATTGTGAATGATCATAAATTTTTAACTATAAGGTATATTAGAAACCACTAATTTATTCTGCTAATTTCAAGGTTCTGATTGAGGCTAAGGAAAGAGAAATTAAAGAAATAACTTCTCCTACTTGACATAAGAATATTCTAGTATGCGCTTGCGTTCATATCGCCACCTTCCATACGCAGTGTCGTATCTAACATTTTTACAGTAGAGCAAAAAAAAAAGTATTTTATTGTCAACTAACAGCGCTTTCAGATGGAGCGGACCGTCCGTCGTGTTTTTTCAAGATAGCCGTCAGACGAAATCATCCGGACGGAGCATACGCGACTATCTGAAATTGTTCATATAAACTCATGGTACTTGCTCGAAGTCGCGGACGATCCGCGACTTCGAAGCGCTGTAACAGTCCCCACAGTGTCGTAACTGAAAACTGTAACAGAAAAGGCTCTTATGCTATAGCAGACAAAATAAATGGCATATCTAACAAAAGTTAATTTTTCCATCAAACTAAAAGACATTTTTTTCGCTCTACTGTAAAATTTTTAAAGTGTTAGTTAGGACACTTTGTGTGGAAGGCGATGATATAAAACGCATGTTTTGAGTTAACCTAACTTTACAAATATTTTTAGAATTTAGAAAACTAGAGAGATTAATTTTCACAATGATTACATTCACTTGTATACTTGTATATAAATTTGTTAATAAATATTAGTCATTTCTAGACCAAAAAATAGATAATTATTAACATTTATAAACCGTCAAATTCAACACGTCAAATAAAATGCGCCAATTAATTTATATTAGGCACTAAGATTAAGAATATAAAATATGCCATATTTCTTAGGACCCGTTAGGGCTAAATCTAATGTTGAGATCGATGTGTTGGAAGCATGAACGCTAGCCTTCGTTAACGTTGATTCATATTCTTGGGATTAGGACTAATGTTAGTGTTATGGCGCGTTCTCACGACTCGTGTACTTGGCAAGTATTTTTTATTGGCCTACAGGGTCTGGCGGGAGTGCGGCGTAGTTCCTATGAATAACTTAGAAATTTTGTATAGATGCCCGGCGCACCCTGTATACCCTGTATACCAATTACAAATGTTTGTCAAGTACGCGAGTCGTGAGAATGCGCCTTTTGGATTAAGATCGGAACCACAAATTACCTATAACAGATGCGAAAGAAAGCGACTGCATCGGAAACCGCTCGGCAAACCCCATACGCCTATTGACTGGTGTAAATACACCAGTCGTTTAGTTCGGAAACCTATGCTGTGTCGTATTCGCTTGCTGGAATGACATAGTGCGTGGTTATATGTTTCTTTTTAAAAACGGGTGTAGGATTTTTGTTGAACTTTTGAACTGTTATTTCTAAGTTTTGGTAATTTGTATATCTTATTTAAAATGGGATACAAATGTGTTTATTTATAAGGAAAAAAAAATATTTATAGTGTAAAAAATTAATTTATTTAACAAAATTTAATTAAAAATGTGACAAAATAGTACCTTTCTATTGGTTCTATCGGACTTTTTTCGACTATATAAAACTTTATTTGTAAACTTTAATACATCAAATATTTTCAATCTAATAAATCATTTAATGATGTAAATAAGAGGACATTTCTCACATGGGTGGTCAAATTCTATAGTTTTCATTATATCAAACAGCCTCTGAGAAATGTTTTCAACTCAAAATGCCTTTAATTATGTTTGACTACATCAATTAAAAGGGTCTTCAAATACATCAATGTGATATTTGTCTAAAATTTGCAAAAGAATCCGAATCTCTGGATAACTCGAAATTATTTACCCATTTAAAAGCCTTTGATCATGAAAGTGGAAAAATTTGTTCATTTTATTTACTGGAAATGGAAAAATTATTTATATTAAATTTTGATGAGTTTTGCACTGAAGAAAACATTCAGAGGCTGTTTGATATAATGAAAACTATAGAATTTGACCACCCATGTGAGAAATTCCTCTTATTTACATCATTAAATTATTTATTAGATTGAAAATATTTTATGCATTAAAGTTTACAAATAATAAAGATTTATATAGTCGAAAAAAGTCCGATAGAACCAATAGAAAAGTAACTATTTTGTCACATCTTTAATTAAATTTTGTTAAATAAATTAATTTTTTATACTATAAATATCTTTTTTTTTTTCCTAATCTCCTACGAACTGATATAATATGACGAGCAATCTATTAAATTACTGTGAGATTATATGCCTCGATAACATATTGGTGCAGATTATTTTCACCCAAACAAATAATAACCCAAACTATACATTGATGCGGATTGTCTATGAATTCTTTCTGAAGGTCACAGAAACCTGAACGCGTAATTCGGTGTTCTTTCGCATCTGTTATAGGTAATTTGTGTCGGAACCATGAATTAATGAACCATTAATTTTTTTTGCTTAAATCAATTTTTACCTGTTTTATTTTTGTTGCCAAGTGTCTTCCAATTAAATCGCAAAGGTTTGCGACTAGGAATGTTACCACGGGGACAAAATAGAACTCTATAAATAGAAAGTTTACTATAAGTATTATCCTTGTATTGAGGATTAAGTGCGGTCCACACGGAACGACGTATCGAACGATTTGCTTGCGTTGATAAAACGTTACAGATAAAACGTACAGACGAAGCTATGTCCGCATTGCAACGACTAGTCGTTCAGTCTTTTGATTATGTCATATCATCATGGAGGAAACACTCCTTGTGGTTAGTTCTTGTTATTTGTTTAAACTTTTCAATAATAATCTTGTAGGCCTGATTTTTCTTTTTCCCTGTCACTGTATTCTTATTAGCTGACTTAAATTAAAATAAAACTCATAAACAAATCGTTGTGAGTCTCCACACGGTACGACTTCTGTGAAAACCGCGGAAACCTATGCCCATGAGTTCAAACTGTTAAATCTTCCGAGTTTGTGCACTCCTAAAATTTGTTCAAATTTGCTATCCACGCGCTACGTTTTATCTATAATGTTTTGTAGACCCAAGCAAATCGTACGATAAATTGTTGCTTCTGGAGGCTTAATGCACTTACCTGCCCATTTGTTATCACTAATTCCGTCACTAAGTTCAGCAACGACTAGTGACATCACACCAGGGTACATTATTGCGGTGGTACCGGACACTATAACCAATGAGATCATGTAGATTCTGGTGTTCTTCAAGGGATGTTTGGCTTTGGTCCACATCCTTACCAGGAATCTACGACTTGGTTGCACGGTATGTTCCATGGGATCGTTACCGACATGGTAGATGAAGTATTGCGAATTTTTTTTGGAATATGTGTAGATGGATAATGTCACACAGACCATTGCAGTACCTAGAAAAAAATATATTCCGTTATACATACCATCCTGGACACTTCGTCTACGTGGTCTGTATTTTAACGCATAGGATAGAGACTGGTTGAGATAAATGACCCGTTGACAGACAGAGAGACAAAATAAAAAGCGGCACACAGTATTGCCGGTTTTTAGCAGTGTAAGAAAATATGAGTAGAAAAAGAATAAACTATTTTAAAAAAATCCATGTATACTATTGAAATGAAGATAATATATCTAAGCTAAATGTAATCTATTACAGCTGTAGAGTAACTAATTGTGAAAAATAAAGTTCTAGTCCTAGATGCAACGTTTTTCACAAACGCCTACTTGTGCGGTTTGAAATTTTTATGCAAAATCCGGCAATACCGCATAGAAGAAATATGTATCAACCCAACTTTTATCTCTTTTTAATACATTTGATTTTCCATAAAGCTGTTTACATTACTGTCATACACGTTAAATTCCAGACCACGCATTTACGATGACCAGAATGGTATATATAGCAGTGGCCCACAGTGCACGCAAAGCAGGGTAGGCAAAAATTCGCGAAATGATAGACTAACATAATAAACAATATAATTATTTTACTCTAAATTGGGGGAAACATTTTTAAGATTTTGCATCACTGCCCAGGACGGCGGTCGACGCGGAAGAAATTAAATCACGCATTAATTCCTTATTCTATCTCTTTCTTACACATTAGCCTTCAAGTCATTGCGGTCTGAGGAGTACGTAGCAGATTCACTTTAATATCCCATTAGAGGCATATAAAGTAAATCAATCCGCCTTCACGTAAATCATATAGAGGGTTTTAATGAATAATATATTACATATATAGGAATTGTGCGATAACGGCAGTAATCAAAAATGATTTAAATATGTCTTAGGTAATCTCTACAATAAAAATAAGATAAAAAATGCTTATTCCGCATATTTCTTGGATTAGTAATGCGTTATAAAATAATGATATAAAAAAAGTTTTATAATCTGTTAAATTGAAATAAAAGAAACTTACCGATTCCAAAAAATATGAATCCTCCTAGCATGGGGGAATCACTGCTAAGACTGATGGTTATAATTTGAATTATAGCCGATATCACACCGCACAACGCTTGAGCTGTCAAAATGGCAGAGTAATATTCTGAAGGGAAATTACTGACCATCTCAAATAAGCTGACTATGATTACTGCACCGCAAACTGAAAACCATTGAAAGGAAAATTAGTCTGGATAAAGTTATATTTTGGATTTATGTCTATACATGGTTAAAAAGTTAATTTTTTCTACTACTTACTTCCTAAAAAACAAGCGATGCACATTACGATTAGGAAGAAGGCTATTTGAACTGCAAAAAAAATAGAAGTTAGATTATTTAATGGGGCTTTATCTTTGAATAAGAAGACTAAGGAAGGAGCATATCAAAAATCTTAGGTACACCGCGATGGGCCTCAAATATAGCCGACTTAAATTCCGGTTTATCAGTGTCGTTCTAATTTTATTTAAAAAATGTAAAACTATGATGTAGGGTAGACGTGGGGTAGACTCAATAATTTGTTGTTTTATTTTACGTTGTGAATAAATGTTGGTAGTTATTAAAATTGTTATAAAAATATATAATTCTAATAAAAATAGATAAGTTATAATAAGTATTTATTAACACAAACATCCGATACGCTACTGAAGCAGGTAAGTCAAATTAACGTATCTAAATTCTTTGACATCTAATCTTTGACAAGTAATAAATAAAAGCTAAAATGCAAGAAAAATATATAATTTAGTTAATTTAAGTGAATTTCATAAATGATTGGTTTACTACACGTATGTATATTATATAGTCACTTACTAGCGAAAAGTTGTTTCATTATTTCACTCAATTTTTGCCGAGATCTACCGCACGCTACACAACCAACTATTTTAGAGTCTTTTTCGATAAATCGCGATAGTGTCACTGTTAATTTAAGTTCTGCCACAATTTCCATCTAGATTTACTACCTTTATACAACTATCAGTAGTAGAATAAATAATAAATAACATAAAATAAGCTCCGTAAAGACTGACAAATCCACAAAATTTCAAATCAAATTCAAATGTGTCAAATGAATCGTCAAACAGAACTGTCAAGGATCCCCACCCTAGAGAGCTTTTATGGTGCCTTTTCCGCCCACCATGCATGAATACATGGATAGCATTATGCTCCTTCCTTAGTCTTCTTATTCAAAGGGCTTTATACAGAGTGTTCAAGTGCGGTCCAGACTTAACGACTTATCCTACGATTTGTGGACCGCGCTTTAAGTTATTAAGGTTGCTTTCTTAGGACAAGATCAGGGCTAATAGCACAGTATATGCTTGGTTCATTCTCCGCCGGTGCTGCCACTACCGGAGAATATCGTAAACAACTAGTACTTATAAATACACGGGTTTCAATAGCGAGAATACGAAAAATGTATTATTTAATTATTCTAAAAGTATTAAATAATAATAATTTGTGAAAATTCTAAAAATAAAAATAGAAAAGTAAATATTTTGATTTCTTCATAAGGTCTAACTAGTATTATAATTTAGTATTCCAGTTAAAAAAACTTTTTGGATGAGTTCAACTACGGTAGCGAGCATAGTTTTAATCACCGATTTTGCTAGAGGGGCATGTTCCTAAAACATCTAATCACTAATTGATTAAAAAAAGTATACCATTAATATTGCAAATTATATTTTATCCTCTCATAGTATATGTCTATTTAATTTTTTGATTATGTGACGAGCACTTTGTTTACTCACTTGTTTCGTCGAACTGCTTGAATTCATTTTTGTTTTTGATAAAATCGGTGTGAGAAACTATGAAGCTATAAAATGTTGTTTCGGGAGAGTTCAATATCCGGGAAAGTTGAGTTATTGAATGTTATTGCACCCAACAACACCATAATTACGCTCTCCTTTACGCGTTAACATTCTTTCTGCAATTTTATTAACATTTGAAATTGTCACAACAAAACACGACGGCTAGTTCTAATTTTTTTCACTTATTTTTTACTACCCGAAACAGCGTTACATCACACAAACCACGTACCTGGGTGTTTTATAGTCTCAATAACTGCACTAGCAAAAAACTAAAATAATTAAATATTATGACAAAACCACGATTTCAATATTATTTTAATGCGATCGACATGACGGCGGCTGAAACAGGTACTGATAATTTCTAATTTTTGCCGTCGAAGCGCTGCGGTCGGAATTTGTTGAAATCAACTGAAATACACCAAGCCTATACAGAATAATTATTTCTTATTCTGTGTTAATAGCGTGACAATTAGTTACGATATTTTTTATGTGATCATCCTAAACTAGCAAGATAATATAGAGAATTCTACTTACAAGTATCTGTGACGATATTGACAAATATCAAATTGACAATATAGAATACCAAGGAACATAGTAGGGCAGCTGTAATACGTTTTTCTGGTGGGGGTAGTTTTTTGGAATAGGCCGCGGTCAGCACTATGAACACTATGAGAGATAACTGCGTGATGATATAGTACGTTGCCACGAAGCTGGCCTGTAGCGTATTCCTTTCGGTGGGGGGTCCAGGAAATATGTCTGGATCGGTAACGGGACTCCTAATTCCGACATATCGGAATTTGAACAGCCAGTACTAAAAATCAATATGGTAACAATTAATTTTAAGATCGTTAATAATTAACATATTTTTGTACACTTTGTTTAGTTTTTCTCTTAAGTTAGTTTTTACTAGTCAAGTCAACTGACCAAGAATTAATTTCATTTAAATTTAATTTGACCATCTAAATTCGATAAATTTCAATTGTTCAGATGGGTTGATTCATGTCTCAGTTGACTATGGTTTAACTTTTGGTGTTTCTAAAATGACGTCGAAGACGCCAGAAGAAATTCTGTGAAATTTATTAATATTTATGAAAAATATAAGATGTATAAGTCCGAAATAAAAAATTAGAGAAAGAAAAGTAATTTCTAACTTATGCCTAGGAGAAATAGTGTTACGCATTAATATTTCTTGTTTTTTAGGGTTCCGTACCTAAAGGGTAAAAACGGGAACCCTATTACTAAGACTTCGCTATCCGTCCGTCTGTCACAAAGGTCTATCTTATGAACCGTTATAGCTAGACAGTTGAAATTTTCACAGATAATGTATCTGTTACGCTCAATAGTCGAATTCGGGCAATGCCCGAAAAAAATACGCATATCTAGTTTTGAGCAAGAAATATTTCCCAAACCCGAAAAACCAACCAACCAGTGAATTAACACCCTCCAAATAACCACCCTAACCAACTCGCCAAATAACTAAACCAATCCAACCAAAAAGAGTGAAACCAATGCAATCAAATTACACTATAAGCAAAAAAAATAATCGAATAAAATTCATTTTTCGGGTTTGGGATATTTAAATTAGCAAGGAATCGATTTTGAGCAAAGAATATTTTCCTTGCTCAAAACTAGATTTGCGTATTTTTCTCGAATTTCTCGAATTCGACTATTGAGCTTAATATACGCTTATATTATATATATATATGTTGCCGCTATAAGAACAAATACTAAAAACAGAATTAAATAAATGTTTATAAATAAAAAAAGTACTTTCACTAAACTATCCTTTAAGTAAGAATTTTACACAGAATCTTACAAGTCCTCGGTGGCCGCGTAGTTAAAGCGTTAGGACTTTACGCTGCTATGACGTTGGAGCCGTAGTAAGGCAGGTTCGAATCCTAGTCAAGGCGACTTTTTTTAATCGTTTTTTTTTAAATTTTTACATATTTATTTTTACTTTTTACATATTTATTATTGATTAATACAATTTTTAGTAATGTGTTTCTTAATTTTTTTTTTAATTCAAAATTTCAGCTAAATCGGAAAAAAGTTTATAATAATATAGTGTCTAATGTTGTATAGATAATGAATGGTACGTGCGCGAGTCCGACTCGCACTTGACCATTTTTTTTTTAATTCTGGGTTCAACATTATCCAACAAAAAATTAAATTGGTGTGCATCGTTCCTTAAAATATTTGTGTAGTGTCTGGGATTTTCTAACTGTGGCTTAGGTATTAAATTATTAGATGTCCAACAGAAGTAATTAATAATATTTTGACCCAATATATACAAATCTTTTGTTTCTTTACAGTTAAATTTGACCATAGACTTAATAGAACCCTTTGTTCAATATTTCACAAGGTGAATGGTCTAGTTTCAGCATCTTCATAAAAACAATAAAAGAGTTTTAAATAAATACTATTTCTATTATACAGGGTGGTCCGAATTGTAATCCGTAAACTTGGGCAATATATTCGATATCCCAAAATGTTTCGATTCGGTGATACAGGGTGTAGAACTTTCATTTTTATTTCGTTTTTATGCAAAAAATTATTTTTCATGTAAAAAACACCCAGACAAAAATTTTCCTCCAAATGTCAGAAGTTAGTTCAGAAATTATTTGGAAAAACCTGAAATGAAACTGCTGCCCCCTGTATCTCCGATATGAAGCGTTTTAGGACATAAATCTATACAAACTTTTTTGCTGATTCTTATCTGTAGAATATGGATTACCCGGATTATATTCGGATCACCCTATATATGTATCACGAACCACCGAGAAGATAAATGACATCTTAAAATATATACTATCCAAAACATAAAAATGTAAACAACTGTGATGTCAAATTGAATTATGAAACTTGATAACTGACGTATATAAATTTTTCAATTCTCAGTTATTATGGATCATACTGAAACAAATTAATATCATATATCAATAGATAAAATCTTTAAATAAAAAAAAACTCACGAAAAAATCTTTATAATTTAATTAAATACCATAATTGTTGTAATTAATCATATACGATCTTTGTTAATAAACTTTTTTAATAAATAAGTGGCAACCTAGCATTTTTCTGTTTACATCTGGGGTGCAACTTTGTTCATGTTTCAAAGCGATAGTAAAGTAATTTGTAGCTTGAGGCACTATGTTCAGTAGCAACATCGATTCGTAGCGATATTCTGATTTCTCGCTTTGTGGCGAGGCGACTGCCTAGACATAGCCTAAACCGTGTCGCACACGTGTGCAAGAGTGTGATAGTGATATCATATTTCGCAGCATTTGAGCGACAATAGTTTTGCAATGAACATAGTACCGATCTGGCTTCGACATCGCTTCTAAACGATCGGTTGCTAACTTGAACAAAGTTGCACCCCTGGTTTGTAGATCTTGGGTACCTTGATTATTTTTCATATGGATATTCATAGCGTTACCGTCGTACTACGCTATAAGTTAAAACGAGGAAAAGTATCGTGAGAAGAACAACTATATAATATCCGTATTAAATAGGGATTAAAGCTTCATTGAGAACCTCGAAATTAATGGATTAAATTAGTGGTTTCAATGAGCGTAGAAATTTGTCCTTCTAATTTGAATGTAAGCATTAAGAACGTCAAAATTATTAGTAGTAATTTTCAATTAGTAGAAAAAGTTAAACTTTAGTTCTGCCTCTGTTATACTTCAAAATTTGCGGGCAATGTCATTTTGGCCTTTGATTATGAAAGTTCACAATAAGGCTTAAGACAGTATGATAATATTTTTTTATTATACTCTAGATTTTTTCAACTTACCGTACTGGCAGTAATGATAAAGTAGTTGGGTATAAAGGTAAGTATACCCAACAAATAAAATATACCATATGTAATATAGTATTTATCCGTAATATGGGGTATATTCATTTTCCACTCACTTCCAATGGAAAATCTGCTGTCATAATATCACACTAATATACATAATTATCTACCATATCCAAGTACATCTATAATTGTATTTTATTCATCTGAAACAAGAGCTTATATTACAAAAAAAACAGGGTCTGAAGAACCTTAGAGAAATAAGTTATCATAGAGATGCTCTCTAAAAAAATAAAATAATGCTTTTATTCTTACACATTTAATTGCATTTTAAATAACTACAACTAATTAATTCGTTTGTATTATCACTGAAAGCTGCTAAATTCACAAATGACTGATAAGAAGAAAGGTGATATAGATAAAATGCCATAGGCATGAGAGTAGTAGGTATTCGTTTAATCTCATAGTATTACAAACTGAAATTGCTGTGTCAATATTTTCATTCTTTTGCTTTCTTAATATTTCAAAGGCTGGGATTATCTTTAATTATTTTTAATCATCAGGCGTTTTTTTTTCGTGGCTTAATTCTAGACTTAGGCTAAAACTGGAATTTTATTGTTTATGATGATTTTTTGCGGTTAGGATGATGTCTTGCGGTAGATGAAGATTGTATGGGATGGAGGAAGTTAATCACCACGACCTTACACGACCTATTATGTATCCCCTTTCTTGGGTTATAACTCATACAGTCTCAGGCCTACAGTATCTGAGACGGTTGTACAGAGGGTAGTTCTCCATCTCCGATATCAATCGTACAAAAGTTATGGCACGAATGGTTGTCATCTCGGCGTACTCAGTGATGAAGTGTTTTGGTATTTCCCCACACAATCTGCATTCGCCCTTGTTTCTTAGCTTCAATCTTTTGAGGTGTTCATTGAGGAGACAGTGTCCTGTTAAAAACCCCATGACAATCCGAAGATTGTTCTTACTTAAATCAAGGAAAATCTTTAGTTTTTCTCAGTCCTGAGAAATTTCTTCGAGTGTCTTAGACCGTTGCAAGATAGGCAACCATTTGTTTATTTACGCTGGTTTATGTAGATTTTATTATTTTATTTTTATATTAGGTTAATGAAAAACGGCAAAACTCCAGGGCCTGATGATATGTATTCGGAAACGTTCCACTTAATTAAAGAACAAAACTTAAAAACTCTAGTACAGCTTTTCAATAACATCTATGACACCGGTCACATTCCTGAAGACTGGCTTCGTTCTACGTTTATCACGCTACCCAAGTCAAGTAACGCAACTTCGTGTAAAGAGTATCGTCTTATTAGTCTAATGAGCCACTTTCTTAAGCTCTTTCTACGGGTGCTGCATACAAGACTACAGAAAATGTGAGGAAGTAAGTGGAGAAAGTCAATTTGGATTTTTTTTTGAACGGCTACAACCTAACCTCCTTATATCATACCTCAGAGACTTGGGACTTGATGGAAAAGATATAAGGCTCATCAGTAATTTGTATTGGAACCAAAACTGAAATTCGTATACATAGCGTGGGAGTAACTGAAGATTTTGAAATAAAAAAGGGGGTAAGGCAAAGGTGTATTCTGTCTCAAATGTTGTTCAATTTATATGTGGAAAGAGCATTCACTGAGTCATTCTCCGATAGTCCCATTGGTTTGAAAATAAATGGCATTCCAATTAATAATATCCGATTCCGATATGCGGATGATACAGTGATATTGGCAGACAATGCAAATTATCTCCAAATCCTTCTAAATAAGGTTAACAATGAAAGCCAAAGACTGGGTTTAAACATAAATGCTACAAAAACTGAATTTATGGCTGTTAGCAGAAACAATATTCCGAACACCAGAATTTACTTAAATGGAGCATCAAGCAGGCTACACAATTTAAATATTTGGGATGCATGGTTAACGAAACGTGGGGTCCAGATCAGGAGATCAAACAAACAAGATCTATTTTTCTGAGACTGCGAAGGACTTCCAAGCACTCCAAGTCGCTGCAGTTAATAGAACCATCTGATGAGGAAGAAAAAGATGAACGCCTACGCAGGAATCTGCACGGCACCTTAAGAAGAAGATGTAGATTTTCTAATTTGTGTTTTGTGTAGATAATTTATATTCAGTTTGTATTTTTTCAAGCACATTGCATTGACACAAAAGCAATTTAAATGCTGTCTATAACCTTCAGTTTGATCGTTACAATTCTAAAGCTACGCAAATTACGACAAACGCGTTGTAGTATTTGAAAGAAAGCAAAAGTGTTAATAAATATCAAATAAAGTGTATAATCATTAATTATAGAAATAAGAAACCAACCTTTTGGTCAATTTTGTGGCACAAAACATGTCCGAGATGTAGCTGGCGTTATCGTCAGCCTGCCCGAGAATTCCCAGATTTAGTTTAGCTCTGCACCGCTGGGCGCTGATAGTCGATTACAGTAACACCGGATAAAGAATACTGTACCGTAGCAGACCGAAGTTAACGCAATTATGATCGCTGTCATTTTATATGTAAAATTATATGAGGAATGTCATTGATGTTCATTTAATAACTATCGCTGACGACGTTTTTTTTTTCGATCATATAGTATTTAAATTATGAAATTCTTCATCTGTGCAGATGCGTGTCACCAAAATTTAGTTTGCGTGTCAACACTGACACGCGTGTTACAAGTTAGCTATCTACTAGGGTATTCTTTCTTCTTTCTCATAGATAGTTTTTTTTGTTTTAAATAAAATTAGAATTGCACTAATAAACCGGAATTTTAGTCAGCCATATTAGGTCCCCATCGCGCTCACCATAAGTTTTTTGGTATGCTCCTTCCTTAATTGTTTTATTCTTAGTAAATTAAGTCAATCTTTTAGACCATATTTTATAATAAAATTTACACACTACCTGATTTTTGATTTAAACTTTTTTTAAAAAATTACAATATTTACGGACATAGCTATTGGCTAAAATATAATCACCCTGTGCACTGTTTGTTTCTCAATTTTATGTAACTTTTATTTATAAAGGGACACAAAAAAATACGCCTATAAATATCTTCCTTGTTTACAACACTTAATCTCATTTAGTATTTTCTTGATTTATTGCATCAAAAATACGTATTTTTTCAAAGTATTATTCGCGTCAAATTCAATTTATGCTTCACCTGATAAATCTTTTATCGCAAAACAGTTGTCTTTGTACATCCTATATATAAATTATTTGATCGTATCGTTCACAGCACTTAAAATTCCGGGAGATACAGAAAAATCGAAATATTTTCCTAAACCAGCATTTCTCATATTTTTTTGAAATTCTTTTTAAAACTACGTCAATTCAATTAAAAGTTCATTAAGAAATATCAGTGGCGTGCTGTGGAATTCAAAGCAGGGTAGATGAAAATTGTCAAGATAATAAAATAAAAATAGCATAAGTAATCAATATAATTATTTTTTACCCTAAATTGGGGGAATTTTTTTCAGATTTGGCATCACTGCGGAGCACAGCCACCGACAAAATTAAATCACGTCTTACTTCCTTATTTTATCTTGTTCTTACACATTGGCCTTCCAGTCATTGCGGTTTGCGAAGTACGTGAAAGATTCCCAAAGGCACAGCCTTTATGGGAAATAGTGTTATATAGAAATTGCGCGCTAGATCCGCAATTATAATATCCGAATAGTGTTATATAGAAATGATCACTAGAATAAAAATTAGATGAAAAATTCTTAATGCGAATATTTGCTGTATTTGTAATGGTTTATAATGTAATGATATAAAAATGAGATTTTATGATTTTGTCTGGGGTAGGCAACGCCTTTTTGCCTACGTTATGTGAAATGTAAAAAAAGTTTTTTTTTTATTTGAAACTTACTTATTATAATAAGGTTATTGGGGAGTATAGAGTATTTAGTGGTCTCCAAACTATTTTAGAAAATTATCAATGTTTTCGGAAAAAAGTTCATGAGTACACTAAAAAAACACGCGTTATAGTTTTGTTATTGTGTTCAGTTTTGTGGAATAATCGATTACATGATGTTTTACGCACTACATATCATTCTAAGAACACCAAAGCGACTGATTAGTTGGTTCGAGTGATATTTTGATAAGCTAGATATCGTTCGGCACTTTAGATTACGAATAAAAAGAAATTCCGTAAATTTTTCGCTAAATTATTCGCCAAGGTTACACGTACCTTACAAGACACCTTTATTATACCTTGGTGGCGTGATTGAAATAGTCTGATTTTTTTAATAGTATTTGTGGAATTTAAATTCTAAGAATTTGATCTTGTTTCTTAATTGGTTGATTGTAGACTGTTGCACTTAGGAAGCGGTTATATTGTATGGGAATAAGTTCTTACGAATTCATCCGACCAGCTGTGACTGTGCCACTACGGTCTGTGTACATTAGGGTCTGTGCACATTAAGTGTCTACATTAAAACTAAAAGAATTTTGGACTTCCATTGTCAATATTTATTTTTGCTTTATAGACAATGGTAGCTCTTTTGGCCATAACGCTCATAGATTTATAAAGTAACTAGATTGTCAACAAACTACATTCTGTGAAGGAATTTGCATAAGTCGCTCAGTTAGCTCTGCTCAAGCGTAATGCGCAAGCCTGGATTTTGAATTATCGATCGAATAACTAGACTAAAGACTAGACGAATAGAGAATAAAAGACTAGACGCTAGCACATTTAACTTGTTTATGAAAATAGCATTTTTTAGCTTGTTTATAAAAATAAAAAGTACAGAATATATTACATTTAAGAAAGCTCATCACAAAGCATATAAAAAAAATCACAAAGCATATAAAAAAAATACAAGGTATGCCGTTTAAGAAAACATAAGTCCGGTGGGTCGCATTTCAAGAATGACATCTCTCAGCGGAAAACTAGTTACGCCACTGGATTCCACGTGAAAAGCTTCACAGAACTCAGTTTTCACCTTTTCTATATTATATAATAATCGAGATACGAAGGGGGTAAAAAATGTTTTCACCTTTTCGATAACTTATAAGATAACCAAGATACGAGGGGTGTCGGAAACTACAACAATTTCAAATTCGTCCTGTGTTTAATAAACTAACAATGCTAGGACAAATCTGTGTGTAGCATCTTTAGTTTTATAAAAAAGTAGCATGGTAATGCGAAAACCGCTTCTCTTTGTAGCTTTACTCATAAACGGGAAACCCTGTAAAACACGCGAAAATGGGAGACCCTGTACAATTTTACATCTAACTGGAATGTTGTGTAAACCAAAAAAAGGTTTATTGGTATGCTAGAAAAATAATTGAAATTCTCCTAAATATTTGCTTGGCATTTATAAAACCGTCTATTATGATAATAATAAATGTTATAAATACCTACTAGAATGAAATAAATTTCAAAAATCTCAATTACCGTCGATTTTAGCAAATATTTATAACTCCACAATAAAACGAAAAAGTATTAGCAAAAAAAAATACGATACGTTATCTCAAAGCAAATAAGAAAAAAATTCATTAAACCCCATTTTAAGAAACAACAAATAAAATTGTTATTCGGGCGTGTTATACATTTAATTGCCTTTGTGCATTTTATCTTGTTTCCTGTAGATTAAATGCCACATACGTATGGCTGCCACGACGCCTTATTTATATACGTCATATTAAATAAATACCAGAATGTATACTAGGGTCTATCGATAATACCTTTTTTTCAAACGTAACAAAAGTATTATTTTTTGACATGACTGACCGTATAAAAAAGTCATTTTAACGCCTAGGTATAAAAGTAAAGCACTTTTACGTCTAAGCACAAAAGTACGTAAATATATTATTAAACTAACACAAAGTGTCAAATTCAACGAGTGTAACCATAGTTTCTCGGTATATAATTACTTACAGAAAAAAAAGTATAATTTTTAGTTCTAATATAACAATATATTATTGTTTCTGCGAGTATGAGATGGCATTTCTCAGTTTTATTTCATTCTAAAACAAGAGTTAAAAGTCCCCATACACTTCGGTTATTTTGCACGGTTTTAACCGAACGGACGTCCCGCTCAATGTTCAGTTAAACAAAAATAAAATAAAAACTCAATGAAATATATTCCATAATGTATCGAATGAATAAAAAAATTAGTTTAAAATTAGCGAATATTAAAAACTTTTATTGTTGCAGCTATCGAAGAAAATAACGAATATTTGTGCCATTATACTGACGAAGATCACTGCCAATTCACATACGTTTATTACTACGACATCGAAAGAAAATTGCACATTAGAGCACAAGAAGAGAGAACATGTCCTCCAGAGGTAATTAAAAAAAGCATCAAATTAAATATAAACCTGTAAAAATAGAAATTAACTTTTTTTCTTAGGTATTCGTATTGGGCATAGTTTTTGGTGTCATAGCTGCCATTGTTCTGATCGGAATGGCCATATTACTTCTCTGGAAATTGCTTACCACCATACACGACAGGAGGGAATTTGCTAGATTTGAGAAAGAAAGAATGATGGCTAAGTGGGATACTGTAAGTAAAAAAAATGTTACCGTGAATTTTTACGATCTGTCAATATTTTAGAATATTTTGAACAGTCCCTGTATATTAATTTTTACGTTTTACAAATATTTTATGTTTACTTAATCTAACATATTAACACCTGTTTTCATAAATATTTTGACTACAGCTGTGTAAAGCCTAGTCTACACAATACGTTTTACCTGTAAGTTAAAACGGATTAAAGACTAGCGTATACACTGGAAGTTTTAACTGCGGTTTTATCAATTATTTCTTTGCGTTTGGTGAAATTGAAACCAAAAAACATGGAATTTTACTACAAAATTATATTTAAGGTTTATTATATTTCATTTGCAAACTCTGTAAAGCTAATTGTGAGAATTGAATCATTTGGCATAATCATTAAATATTGTTAAACAACATTACATTAAAAAAATTATTAACACTTATTACACATAACAAACTATTAAAAATCGCTTAAATCGTCCCTGGTGTCACATCCCTTGTTTGGCACCAAAAACATGGCGGTTTATATTTTTTGGTTATTGATTTACTGGTTATTTTTTCTAGGGTGAGAATCCAATTTACAAGCAAGCCACATCGACCTTTAAGAATCCAACCTATGCAGGCAAAGGTTAAAATAAACCTTAAGATAAGTATAAAAAAGAAGAGAGAAGAATCTTAACAAGAAAAAATGCAATCGTTTTGAAAAAAGAAACGCATTTTAACCATCTAGTAAATATTCGTTCATTGATATTCATATATTTCATCATTAATTTCATAAAATTTTATTTATTTATATAAATTTTGACATTTTAACCTCGAATCTCTTTTTACTACCCTTAATACTTAAATTAATATCTTCTGTGTTTTTTGTAAATTGTTCTTATTTATACTTTATAACAAAATTAAAAAAACAGCACTAATTTTCTTTCGAATAATTAAACATAATTGTGTTTATTGCCATATATTAATAAACTACACTGTGATCGATTTAAAACGCCGTCATAGTAAGCACTAAGAAAAAGATATGACACACAAGAACATAGGGGACAAAAACACAATTTTTTTAACTAGGAGCTGCTACTGGTTCAGTTAACTGCAATACGTTATTTCTGTGCCTACTCTGACGTTAGTTTTATTCAACCACACTGTACTTATTTAGCCTGGATGCACACAGAAAAAGCAAAACAGTTTTAATCAAAATCGTTTTAGGCTAAATGTGTTTTCATGTGATGCTTCAACGCAGATTAAATGGGCTAACGCACCCCATAGAGTCGCGAGCTTTAAGACTCGTTTAAGCTCGTTTAGTCACAGACAGGCTCGACATCGAGCTCTGGATCGTTGTTTTATGATAAAACATTTTTAGTCACCGTGCGTTCCATATCTGCTGCCGTGTATACTAACTGTAAATAAATCATTTTGCTTCTCTTCGAAACATAATGTTTTTATAAAAGAGAAAAACGTTTTTACTAAAACAGTTTTGTTTTTTCTGTGTGGGTCTAGCCTTAGATGTTAAGGATAAGATGAATTAAGGATAAAATACCGTATGATCGAAAAAAAAAAAAATGACGTCAAGTGGCTTGATGACATCGATCGTCATTTTCTAGGCCAATTATGACGCTGTTTTTTCGGTCGTACGAGATTTAGTATTTACTTAAACTGAATCTGTAACCTGTTCATTTTTGGCGATTAAAATTGTCTATGCAATTGATGAATTATAAAAATGATCTAGGTATAGTTAAAGATATATTTTAAAAAAAAAATCGAATATGACTAATTTTAAGTTGATGACAAAGTGTCTAAAAAATGTAGTCAATGTGCCTAATTAATTATAGTGTCTTAAAAAGAAGACTTATTAATACACTAATATTTTTTAAGAGATATATTTTTACTGATCTGATAGTTGTAGCCGTCGATTTGCTAGTTTTATTTACAAAATATTTTGTAATCGTTGTTAGTTACGTATTAAATATTTAGATAACACCCAAATTTTTTTTGTTTTTATTGTGTAAATTGTTATATTTTTATTCACCGGTTGTCAAATTTTGATTAGTTGCTGGATTAATATCAGGATTGACCTAATTTTTACACGTAAAAATTAGTTGTTTACGTGTAAAAATAGTTTTTTACATGTAAAAAAATAAAATACTCCTTCAAAATAGTCAAGTTCCATTAAAAATACTTTTTTCTGTCAATGATCCAATTTAATTTGTTTCCATATATTTTATTTTTATTCTCTATTGATATTATTTTTTTTTATTTCGTTTAGAAATCAAAATTTATGCCGAAAGTATATTGTCTTTACAAGAGGAAACATTTTTTTATTATTGACATTTTGAGAAAAATACATTCTTCATAAATAATTTTGCTTGTTCTAAGATGGTTAATCCCGTTTATATTTTTCCAAATTTCCATACCGTTTTAGAGAAAATTAGAAAAAAAAACATGAAAATATGACTGAATTTTTCTTCCCAAAAAAAAAATTCCCAAATATCAAAACGCGTTTCTATGGTAATGTAATTCTAACCTAACCAACGTCATATTTTTTGCTGTTTTAAAATGTTAAAGAAGCACAAAATTTATTTAGTTCAACGCTACGGAAAGGGTGATAATGGCTAGCAAAAAAATGACGTTAATCAAAATTAATAATAACCATCTATCAAAGAATGAAATCGAAATTATATTACCATAAAACGTCTTTTTATTTTTAGGGCTTCTACCATATTTTCATGTTTTTTCTAATTTTCTCTAAAACGGTATGGAAATTTGGAAATGTGTAAACGGGTCTAACCATCTTAGAACAAGCCAACATTTTTATGAAGAATGCATTTTTCTCAAAATGCCAGTAATAAAAAAGTTTTTCCTCTTTAGACAATCCGACGACATACTGTAGGTTAGAAAGAGAAAT